TGCAAATAAAGTCTACATTCATGGGTTTAATTATCGTAGGTATATAGTAGATTATATTTTAACTTGCATTATTAAAATAACATGACCTATATAATAATAAAAAAAAAAATAATATTGTAATACGTACTTGTAAGATTCGATTTTGTTTTCAATTAGATATATATTATTATCATTTGTCATAATTTCAAATGAATAATTTCTTTCGTCCGAATGTGTGATTAAATGTAAATACGTGCCTGCATATTATACGTGCCTGCAACAAAATATTTAAAATAAATTAACTGTATAGTAGGTACCTATTTTGAATGCATAAGTTATGTTATTGTAATCAATATATGTATAATGCGTACATGTAGTTAGGTGCCCGTGTGATTAAAATATCGAAACGTATTTATTTGATCATATTATGCCTATATTGTTATGGTATACGCGATAACGTGTTATTTTTTTATTTTTTTTTTTACCGGCCATAAAAATATTGTAGATATCGATAAATACAATCATTTTGCGTACAGGTACACCCTGTGGCATAATAAATACTTGCGTTTTAGTCTTTTAGTACACTAATGTCTACTCCATACCTACTCTAAACACAATAATAAACAATAAACACGTTTGTTTTGAATTCATAATAAATAGAATTGGAAAAAAAAATTAACGCATAACACATAGGACGAGTGTATACGAGACCTATGAAATGTTAAGATTTTAGAAAATATTGTTTTAATCGAGAAGTACATAAATAAATAATAATGATTTCGGAGAATGTATATATGCGTCGAAATAAACCTATAGGATATATTGAGTATTTTTTTCTTTCATATAATGAAAAAAACTTCACGATCCGAGTATTATTTTCATTCTTCTTTTATGATTTAAAAAATAAAAAATAATAAATACTTGAATTTTTTACGCGTAGCATAATATTTCAGTTTGTCCCCTCGTCGTACCGCGCATTCCTATGTAATATAATCTATTGAAATTCCTGCAACATCTACAGACTTTTGTATATTCTTAAATTCTGTTATTATACTCACCTTTTTCACTAATTTGACATCGAAAACTTATATAGTTTATGTATTATTTTTTCGCTTCCCCCGAGGAAAAATATTTTATCGCGTTTAAACATTGCTGATATTATATTTATATAAAATCTCGGGAAAGCGTTTTCAATTATTTATTTTTTGGTTTTTTTTTTTTTTTGTCTCGTGAATTTATACCTAATATCTAATATTCTATTTCGAAGGTTAGATTAGTACTCATACCTTTAAAGTAAATATACTAAAATAACAATATTACGAATACCTGGTTGTTTTATTTTAATGATAATTTTAGGGCAAATTTAATTATAATTTACTTACAATAATTCATATAAATTAAAAATTGATCATTTTGTTTTTTTTTTTTTAGTCTTGGACTCTAGCCAAGTACACTCGTTATAAAATATGATACAATTTCCAAAACCAATATCTCCCACCTCGGTAAATACGTCACTGGCCTGTACGCATTACAATATAATATGTATTACGTTTCTGTTAATATTGCACATCAATAATATTTACGAACATTAGTTAATACAAAATCATTTAATATATAGAACAATAATATAATTGGGTTCCAGCTGCATAGTATAATATAGTATAATAATATAACCGCTTAGTATTATTATTTTTATAATTTTAAAATGAATAAAGTCAATAATGTCTATTTACGTTCTGTTGTATATGATGGAAAAAAATATACATGTTTATAGTGTTATTCTGTAAACGCATTACGAATTTGACTACATTATTCATTATTTTCAATTTTTCATTCAAGCACCGCAAGTGCTTACAACCGCGTGACATAGCAAAATTTCGTTTAACAGGGATAATTCTGTATCTACTGTTAGTAGAAATATTAGAGAAAATTGACTGACCTATTATCAATCTTAAAGTTAAGAACATTATGTACGTCTTGTCGTCGTTAATTTTCAAACTGGATATATGTATTATAAGCATTATTAAATCGTGATATTTCAGACACTCGCTTAAAAATTAATAATTCCGAAATAAAACGAAACGACACATATTATAATGTTCTTATCTTAAGTTTTTTTTTGTATGATAGGTCTATTCACTCTAACATTAAAACTAACAGCACAAGGTTGTCCCTGCTGGACGAAAAGTTGTTATGTCGCGCGGTTTTATGACGGAGATACCACATGCGGGTAAAACGTCATCTTCACCCGTCGTTGGTAAACACGTGAGCGTTCATATCATAATATAGTACGTTAATATGATGGAATTTGAACGAATTAGAATTTAATCGTTTTGAAATTAAAACTTATCATTATCATGTAAACATGTGTTAAACTGATTTAAAAACATCAAACCGTTTCCAAAATTAAAACTCTCGCGTTATATAGCTTAAGAAATTAAAACTGTTTTAAACGTTTAAAACGGTTTATCACAAGAGCGTATTATAAACGCGTTTATAGACAGCATTTCGAAGGTTACAAATCGCTATAAAGTGCGCTCCTGCATAAAAGTTCAATATGACCTATATTATACTTAGGTTTCTCGATTTAACTATTATGCACTTATATAGTGACTTACCTCTGATTTATGTACATTGTACACAAGATGTGCACCCGCTTACGTGACAATTATATAACTGTTTAACTACTATAACTACTGTAACTATTATATAATTCGTGTCGTACAGATTTGCCGAGAAATTATTTAGTCCAATATTAATTAGAACAAAATTATTTTGTGTGATTATATTATTACGAGAATGTTAATTTTTTATTATTTTAAATAATATGTAAAAATCACAAACACTGTTCAAGTCAACTATCAATTTACAAACTTTATAGTAATTAATCTGATGTATTTCTGTTTTCAAAATGAAAACGGAACATTATTTTATAAAACTAATAGTTGGCCGTCACGCTAGGACATTTTTAGTGATAATTTACTGGGTGTCTACTATGTTTTTAAAAAAGTTAACTAAATTCAAAGAATTGAAAAAATAACCTTTATTCATTATTGTAAAAAAAAAAAAAAAGCAAATTATAAATAACCAATGTTGTTTATAAACATGACTCAAATAATATAAAAATGACAAACTTTGTTTTTAAATAATATATTTAAAAAAAATATCGTATTAATAACTAAAATCGTTTGTTCTAAATTCGTTCAAAAAAACTTACTGATGAAATCACGAAACTTCTTTTTTATTTAAAAATACTATAACAGCGGGTTAAGGATCATATAGTGTGCGATTTCAACTCTGTTCATATGGTACGCATTTCAGAAGATAGTATAATAGTTTCTTCTAATAAAATTAATTGTACATTAAGTTTTCGTTTGATTATAATGTGAAATCACTAATTTCCGTTTTCATTGAATGGGCGCAAATAATTAATAAAGTAACAGATAATTTTTATAATATGCCATTAGTTTTAGTAGCTGTAGCCTTTAATTTTAATGAATATTTTGTTCTTTTATCAGTTGATCGAGTATCAATATTTAAAATATCTTATATCATCCGTCAAAAATTAATCACATTTTAAACAAACTCTAAAACTTTATCATGATCTACAATATTTTCAACTAACTGATAGCCAGCTTCTTTCATTTCTATGCAAGCATTTGCAGAAATTAGTTACAGGACACCCAATGGGTGAAATATTTCTTTACTTTGTATCCAATTAGTCTAGATTGGGTGTCCATTTGGACATTGATAATATGCTTGAAAAATGTCCTGTAAGTCACGCTCAGAACTTATTAAAAACCACGACATTTTTAATCGAATATCATTACTAACTATCGGCTCACAATATCATAGGTATTATAGGCATAGTTTTGTCAAAATTTTGATTCTGGATTTCCATGTATAATTATAGTTATACATAGCAGGTACAATGGTATTATCGTTCGAGATGACATAGTGTATGCAATTTAACCGTTGCAGTTGTGAAGCTATGCAGAAATAAAACACGTTTATAACGCAGTATAGTAAATATCCGATGCGTTTTAATAACATTATTGTTTTGCAAAAAATATTATAATAATATGCAACTGTCTATACAACAATTGAAGTTTTTACAGTCGGTATAATCGGTTTAAATATAACATATAACATAATAATATGCGTATTTAAAATAATAACTCTATTTATTATCATTGGTTTTTTTTTTGTTTCTATGATAAATGAAACTTATTATTTAGCGTAAAAAAAAAAATAAATACATTGATTTTCATAATAACTTTTATTTCGAGACGAATGATGTCTATATTATGTATCGGGGAGTAAAAAAAAAAAAATGGAAATTCTATGTAATATATCCTCAACGGTAATAATAAATGAAAAATGTGCGTAGAGTATAAAATAATAATAAAAAGAAATATCGTTCCAAAACTGTATTAACGTGTGCGTGTGAGTGTGCGGACGCGCGCGCGCGTGTGTGTTTGTGTGTACACATAAAAGAATATTTGATTTTTTCCCCCGCGAGCAAATCCTAACAATGTTTCTATTATAAGACTTATAGGTTTTTATTCACTTTTTTTTACTCTATATCGCCTACTGACAATTTGACAGTTTTATTAAATTCCGGTGAAAATTTTTTATTTCACCAAACATAATAATTCGCAGAAAAACAACACCAGCCCAGAGAAATGAAATATGCAAATATTTTATCGCTTCACCGATGAAATCGTATCGGTTTGCCCGTTTCGCAGCCCGGACGTACGCAGTTCCGCCAATAATAATTACCCGGCGAAGTGATTGGCGGAAACGGTGGTTGCATCAAATTACCGCGGAAATAACGTCGCGGCCACTTTATCGTACATCAATAATCTCACGCGTCATTATTATCGCAATATATACCATTTATTATCGCAATAATATGATTACAAGATTTTCGTTTGCTTCGTGTACGAACGTTCGTACATGTTAGTGTTCGTTTGGTAATATAATACAGCAGACTATACAATATATAACCAACCAAAAAGATGGAACAATATTCAAATACAATTCTTTCTTATTCCAAAAAGAACGCTAAACAACAAATAAAAAACCATTTGGAGGTGATTAGAATACACCACAAAAAAAAAAATGCCGTGGACATTTGCATTCATTCGGTGAAGTTGTTCTTCATACAACCGAGCATAATCACGTTCCCGACCTGGTAAAAGCTGAAATAAAAGAGGCCATTAAAAATTAAAAGAAACTGCAAAAAATACGCAACTAACAACTCACTGTGTCGTAGGAACTATAACATCTGAAGTAAATTTCATTACATATTTTTATAACCATAATTTTATTAGACAATAATTTACATATTATTATTATTATTGTATTATTATTATTATTATTATGATTATAGATTACACAAAGCGTAACAGGACAACTACCAGTTTAAATCAATTAAAACGCACTGTTTAACGAATTTGAAAACTCAAAACATGTGCTCCACCTGATCCAAAGTCACTAGACAATCTTAAAATACCAGACGAATACAGGAAAACAACAAGTGATGAGACTTATTTACAGTATGATAGCGTTAATTACGACGGTTACGATGATCGGTTTTTAATTTTTACGACTAAAACTAATTTAAAATTAATGGAAATATGTAAACATTGGTTAGCGGATGACGCTTTTTCGTATTCACCTCATATTTTTAATCAACTTTATACAATACACGTAGTTAATTATTCAACTGCATGTATTGAACTACCAAATAAGAAACAAGAGACTTATAAACAAATGTTTTTTGCGTTAAAAACCTTATATCCACAACTAAGTCCAAAATCTATTATGTTCGATTTTGAAATAGGTGCAATGACTCCAGCAAAATGTGTATTTCCTTTAGTCAACATAAAAGGCTGTTTCTTTCATTTATGCCAGAGTATTTGGTGAGATATATAGTCCAACGGATTACAGTCAAATTATTCGAATGATTCCGATTTTGCTCTTAATTTGAGAAAACTAGCTGCACTTGCTTATATTACAAAAAATGATGCAGTGCCCGCCTATGAAACTTTACTCGAATCACAGTTTTACCAACATAATAATGAAATGTTATCGAATTTAATTGATTATTTCGAAAATAAATGGATCGGTAAACCTATTCGTAAAACTAGAAGAGCACTTTTATTTTCAATTAAAATGTGGAATTATTATTCAATGTTAGAGGACGATATTCCATAAACAAATAATTCGGTGTAAGGTTGGCATAATTCTTCTAATTTTATGCTAAGTGGGTTCCATCTGTCGATTTGGACATTCATAGCAGTATTAAAAAAAGAAGAAAGTTTAAACCATTTTCAAATTGAACAAAAAACTGTAGGCTTTGAACCATCCCAGAAAAAAAAATAAAGATTCCACAATAAAATTTAAAAAAAATGTAACAACTACTTAACTTACTTAAGTGGCATACTACATCATTTTCAATATCAATAATAAATAAGCAAATATTAAAAAAACAAGACGATTTAAAATAAATATATAAAATATTATGGTTAACTATGTAAATTATATTGTTATGACTATTATATAACCGTATGCCTGCAAATATTGTACGTATTATTATTTTTTACTATACATAAAATAAACAATCAATAAATATATCTAAGGGAATGTTAAAAATCTATGATATAATTCTGTATTGTAACATTATTAATTATAATATACTCATATGACTCTAATTATTATTATTTTATACTTAACTTGTGTTGAAAATAAAATGGTATATTATTGTTGCGATATCTTTGTACCAACGACATATTTGCTTTTGCGATATTTTTACCGCGATAATATTATTGCAATTTTTTAATACCGCGACAATTTTAATGTGTATTCCATAATGAGAATCTCAATAAAACGTGATGTCGTGATGACGTGATACCGATGATTTTCTGGATCTAGTAGTGTCATGTTAGCAGAAAACAATAGAACAAACCGTTTTTGAAATCGGTTTTAGTAGTTGTAAAAACATTTTATTATTGCGAAATTAATAGAAAACTAAGTTTTTACGAGATATGACTCCGTTGGGGGGGTTTTTTTTTAAAAAAATATTATTTAATGATTATCTTAAAAAATCTGAACGTACTTTATACCCTGGGTAGGCGTGTAGTATTGTACTGCAGAATTTATTATATTAGTATACAGTGTGAATTTTTTAAGCACGGTCACTCTATTTGTATGATTAGATTATGCATAGATTCGAATTCTGATTTTTGAAAATTTTTAATTAGGTATATTAAAAGACGATAATAATTTATTCATACTTGGATGTTTTCACAACATTTAAAAAGTATCCCGTGACAATACCATCTTTGGTTTTTCAAATGAAAACCTACATGTTTCAATGTAAATTGTCAATCAGACGATTTTTCTGAAAATGTCGACGTATTGTAATCAAAATTCGAACAAAAAATTGTTGAAGTATTATACTTTACATATTAAGGATAAAAGGCTTTTATGAGGATTGGGTACCGACTGGTTCACAGGAGTTGTGTACAGACAATTTTTGTTTTGATTCGAATAAGTATCGAAAAACCGGTTTTATGTTATTATCCTTAAGTATTCAAAGTAAAATAATTTAGAACTTTTCGTTCAAATTTCAATTAGGCACAATACGTCAACATATTTAGAAAAAGCTGTCCTAGGATAATGGAGACGGGTGCAGCAACTGTTACAGGTAATTGAATATATATCTGTTAGCAACGATTAACCATTGCTAACGAAAAAACGATTCTAAACATATGTATGCCATATTATGTTAAAATAATTACATATGCAGAATATATTTTGTTTAATATTGTCTCTATTTTCTCGGTTTTCAGCGTTCTCTCCGGTTTTCCCATGTTTTTTCCTGGTTTTCACCATTTATTGGAAAATCAAAAAATGACCATTTTAAAATACCTTCCCAGTCAGATTTTCTTTTAGAAAAAGTACTATGATTGTAAATAGAAGCAAAATTGCTGGTAGAAAAGTTGTTCACAGATTTAAAAATAAACACCATTGCAGAACCAATATTAACCATTATTCGCTGCACTAAGAATCTAAAATCAAACGATTAGCAATTTACAGAATTGTAGATTCTCATTTGAAAATCCGAAGTCAGTATTGTCACAGAATACTCCTTTATAACGTTGTAAAAAATTCAAGTACATACTTTAAATTATCTTCTTTCACTACAGTCAGAAATAATACACTCCAAAAATCAGAATTTTAATTTACGCAAAACCATAAAAATGGGGTGAGCGCTCTTTATAAATCACCCCGTATAAATATTGTAATGATTTCATAATCTATACAACGCGCCGTACACTACCTCGATAGTAACAGAATGTTAATAACAATAATATTACGACAGTATGCTAATATGCCGGAACTCGGAATCTATAAGTAACGCATTGCGGAATGCTACAATTTTGGAATCCCATCTTCGGGGGCCTTCGCGGTGGTATATTTACTGTCTCTGTCTTCCTAACGGGCGATGCATCAAAAACACGCGTTCTTTATACAATGAAACGAAATGGCCTTTAAATTCTGTTTTAGAAATAAAAATGTATTTCAGAGATAAAATTCGTAGACGACAACGTTACGAAAACAACCACGTCGGTTCATTAAATTTTTGATTTTAATATAATATGATTTTTTCGTATACATTCGATCGGAGTAGGGCATTATGTAGTTAAATACAATTTTATTCGAATAGAAATTGTTATACGGATGAATAATTTTTCATAATTATTTGAATAAAAATGTATATTCGATTAGTTTTCGATTATTTTGTTTGATTAAACACTGTAGGTTGGCGCATGTCCCGTCTAACTATTTATTTTTGTGCAGAGCTCAATATTTTATTTGAAAACTATTCGAATAACAATTTTCCATTCAAATATGTATTTATTCGTATTTTTATTTTAGTTATCTAAAGATATAATTTCGCCCAACTCTGCATTCGGTTATGAGTCGAATATGTTTTGGAGTATCGTATAAAACGCCGACGTGTTTGTCCTCAAAAACAATATTATCAACTACAATATTATTTCTATAAGTGTTTTATCTCTGAAACGCGTATTAAAGACTCGTTTGTTTTACACGTTTTTGTTTTGCCACTGTCCTATTAAAAAATTGTCAACATTGTTTCCTATATAAGTACGTGATAAATATTTTTTTGCCAAATACAAATATTTTATTATTTTCTAATATTATATCCAAATAATTGTCATTTGAATAAAATTATACTCTTGAGTTTTATTATTTTTAAAATATCGATTTTAACACGTATTTTTCCGGTTTTTCCCAATTAGTATGAAAATTGTTGAAAAATCAAAAAATGACTACATACTCAACAGCTAGATCTAAAATGCAACAAAAAAGGTTTCTTGTTAATTTTTTGATCGGAACAAGATTTCTGGTGGAAAAGTTGTTGCAGACACAAAAAACAATTATATACACTTATAGTTTAAACAATAAATCCCTCGCTTCGTTCAGAACCTTGAAAAATCCGATACTATTGATGAGTGTGCCACTGTTTTAGGCGGACAGTTAAGAAGGCAGGATACTTATTAGGATACTTACATACAAAGTTATTTAATTTATATCTTACCTTAACGATACATCATTACATATGAAATACGATATTAAGCAAAATTCGGTTCCAAAATGTAATATTTACGATTTTTCGGTTAAAATTTGATTTTCAAACGCTTAAATTACGTAAAAAATTTTTTATACACCTATAACTGAGTACCACTTTTAATAAATCTCGTGTAAAATTATCAAGCATTTCTGTTTGGTCAAACGACTTTATCCCGTATAACACCTACGTACCAAAATAAGACTACAAAAAAAAAAAAAAAAAAATCGAAAACAACAAACTACGCCTATTGATAAAGCCATAAAATTGTCAGAATGTTTTAACACGTCTAAAAAAAAGTCCAATATAATATTATTATCTTAGTTTTTTTATATTCCGGTAATATTTCAAGGTTTCTACGATTATTTTTAACCGAATCGCAATAAAAAAACAAACTTGAAAACAGTAAATAACGAAATCGTTATTTTCGTAAACGTTCCCGATTCTTTTTCGGTTTAGCCTGACTATTAAAAAAAAAAAAACTACACGAAGAAATAAAATCACAAAATCAGACTTTCTGACCCACCATCAGCTACAGACATTATATTTTTTTTTTTTCGGAAATTCAGTGAATGGAAGAAAAGTCGCTCACGGGGATACAGAAAAATATAAAATAAATAATATTTTAACTACAGATTATTAATTTATTTTTTCCCCCCAAAAACCTTGGCGATTATTTTTCGAAACCGTCCGTATCCCCTCAGAAACTAATTGCCGACCACCCCCCCCACCGGACTAATTTAAGGGCACCGCCTGACGTGCGTGTTGTGGCATGACTGCGACGCCACGACGGTGCCGTCGGCGGCAAAGCGAGCCGGTTGTCCTCGCGGCGTCCCCCGCCCGTAACCGCGGTTGCGGTACTCGCCGCCACCCGCCGCACGGTCCGTCGGCTGTCGTCGGCGGCGTCGTCGACCAACACGCCGCCGTACCGGCCGGTTACCGTTCGGAGAGCGCGCGTCGGCAGTTCGTCCGACAACGTCGTCGCTAACGGTTTTCGGGTTTTTTCCTGTGCGTGTTCGCGCTCGTCCGTCCGCTCGCCGAGTTCGTCCGCGTCGTCGTTTCGTCTTCGCGTTTTTGTGTTTTCGATTTCCTCCCGCTTCCCCGCTCAAACGTTCGTTCGAAATCTGACGGGAAAAAATTAATTTTACCGCGCGTCTCGAATAATACGACTGTGCGTTTTTTACCCGCGTTTCGCCAGTGTACCCGCCGACGAAAAACCGCGGATACTTGTCTGCGGCACTTTCGAGTCTGCTCTCGCGGGATTTACCCCGCCGCACGCACCGGACGAAGTGAGTACCTATCTACATACGGTCGCATTATTTATCACGCGGCTCCGCGTCCGCGATAACCGCCCGTCCCCGTGGTATAGGCACCTGCCTACACTACGCCGCCGGAACAAAACGGTTTTCGGGAACCGCGTTTCGGGTAGGCGGTATAATGTTATGTTCGTCGCGCGTTTTATCCGGCCGCGGTGACTTTTACTCCGTTTGGCCGGAACGTTCACGGTAAACGGCTCAACGCCGTCGTCGTCACCGGTGACTGTGTGGTAACCTTGGTTAGCGCAGCTCGCGCGTCCGGTACCACCTAGGTACCGGTGCCGCGGCGGTAACCTCTCCCGGTGACCGTGTGCCGGGAACGGTTTCGACCGCGGTTACCGCCGGCCGCTGACGGATTTCTCGACGGGGGCGGATTGTAATAACAAATTATGAATACACACGTTTGCCGAGGCGCCCTAATGAGTGTTCGTTCCTAACCGATTAGGCGTGTACCGGGCGGGCCGTAGCCGATTTCTCGCGCGAAAATTTATCCCTCCACCGTCACCAAAATCATAACGAATTTTATCCGTTCGTTTCAATAGACGATAAGTGTGGGTTTCGGGCACCCCTAACCGTCATCGGTTGCCGCGATTTCGGAATGTCCGTTATTTCGAATTTTTACTTCGGGCGGGTGTTATATCGTGTTCCGAACCGCGTTAATACCACATGGATAATAATAATAATAATATTTTTCGAGTAGGTAATGATAATAAATTGTTATGGGCGCGGTACCGACGACGCGACCACTCCGGGAACACCTGTCCCCGTCGTGTCCCGCGATATCAATAGGTATACTCTGGTAGGCAGTTGGGGGGGAAAAAACCACAACGTTTCTAACCGTCCACGTCGTCGAATATTATTTCAACCGAAATTGTGACTAAACACTGACGATAATTCCGACTTATGATTTTCATTTTGATAACGAACCGTGTAATAGCCGTGTGTTCGGGACTTGGCAAAAAGACCGCGATATCGGATTTGTAAACCGTGTCATATCGTGTAACGCGTACCCAGGCTAATTGTAATACAAAAAAGACCAATTTATTAATTTTTGTACCCGTAATTAGTTGTAATTCAATCTGCCCCGAAATTACTATTGCAATCGAATGCCTACTTGTTGGTTTGAGCGAGTAATTATTTACTATTTTGATATTATTAGGTTTTGTTTTAAACGAGAAAGTGTAATTTAGTAGTTTTTTTTTTTTTCTATCACTAAAAGCGAAAAAATTTGTATTCAAAAACAAGCGGTCATTATACATAATAGACGCTGAAAAAACGCTAATGGAGGGGGCAATGTATCTTCCTTATCTCTGTCCCCCTCCCGCCGAAAATAGGCATCTAATCGTTCACAGCAGTCGATAGTTTTGGTAGGCACGGGCAAATGCTTCGCGTAGCGCGGTACAAGGTATTTTTAAAACTATCGGTTTTTTTTCTCGGATCCCGGGGCGGGAAACAATCCGCATAACGATAAAACCGAGATCATCCAAGATAAACATTTCAATTTATTAATAACTCGAACCGGAATAACACCGAGTGTCAAGGACCGTACCATAATAGTTTAGAGCTACGTTGTTGCGTTTCAAACGAATTTTCAAAACGGACTAAAAAAGTAATAATAACAACAACAACTGGCGATGACGTTGGGCGTCTACGCGAATCGCGTCCGCCGTACGGTTCGGATGCTGGCTTCTGAAATCGTCAACGGGCTGCTATGTTTACGAAACGCGCGAACAGATTTTCCCCAGCTTCCTAAATTATTTACGTCCGGTACGAATTGACGTAGTATTATACCGGGCGATTTACGTTTCTGTTTTTGCGCGATTCTATTATCCGACGCAAGATCACCGATATCCACACTGGCCGTCGACAGTCTCCGGAGCGCGGCATCGAGGAAGAAGGGTATTGTTGATGGACTTAGCCGGATTTTTTTTCTTTTTTTTTTTTTCGCGTCTCTGCTAATACGGCAGGTACTTTCCGCGGTGTTTACGCGGGCAAGTGACTCGTACGCTCAATAGCCCGTTTGTATTCATATCGGTGGCCAGGTGTTTGATAAAAACCACGCGTTTGACGCGCCCGTGATTTATCAACAAGCCTATCCATAGGGTAAACCACTGATGGATATTATGCATGTACACTAGATTCCATAATAATGCTATCGTTTTTCCAACGATCGACAAAACTTTGGCGCGCAATCACCAAATATTTCCATAGTTACTAAATATATGTAGTACACCGATTTCTGTTGGTGATTTATTACCCTCCGAGCCTTTCGGGTCCTGATCCCGGCCCCGTCTTAAATCTCAGTGGCCGCCTACGCCGACGTCACGCGGACCACTGTGAACCGCAATAGTGATTATTATTTTAATTATATTTCAGCCCCGAATATTAAAGTATAAAACGGTTCGTCGTAAAACATTAAGTTTAGTTGCGAGTTCAATAGTAGATGGGGGGGGTACCTACTACGCTTTGACTTTTCGATCGCAAATTTATCGGTCCGCCGGAGTTATAAAATCGAGTTTTACCGCGTTCCCCTCGTATATTTAATATTTTTTTCCACAATCGGAATACGAATATCGCCCTCTTTAGAATAACGGACCTGTACGGCAAAATCTAATCGATTCGGTCATAAGATAATGGACATCCGACCTTATGGCGGTCGTCTGGTTGGCTGATGTACATACGGTTCGGCGATCACGGAAAACTATGGTTGCGCAGAAATCTTGTAGACAACCTATTGGTATTCCGGAATCGGTGGAATCTGGTGTACACAGTTGTATTGATCAGTGATTTACACTCTTATGCGTATGGTTTAACAATTTTCTTGTACAGACTGTCGTATAATTCAAATTTTCCGTTTGTCTTTTTGTTTTCGTTTCACGACCAAAAACCGATAACCTATTGCTTTTGGTGATTTTTAAGTTCTAAAAAAAAAAAATAAATAAATAGCAAGTCATATTAGTTACGGATATTAACGGACGAACAACCGCGTTTAATGGGTATGCCGACAAATTACCCTTTCGGGTTTTCGACGCGATAAATCCTTTTGGTCTTTCGCGCGATATAATAATAATAATAATATTATCCTTGAAAACGTCGGATAGCGACTTGGAACCGTAAGAAGTTTTATCAGCGAGAAACGAGGGGGGAGTCGTATTACTCACCGTACACCGTATATCCGTTTGAATTTCGTAAACCTCGCCTCGGGACATGTGAAGTCCCGTCAAAATCAGTATCCTCGCTTCAAACAATGACCGAATTTTGTTTTTTTAAATATTACGCCACTCCCGCTCTCCGTCCAACATTCGACAGACTTTTTCGTCGGTCGTATTTTTCTTTATCCGCTGTGTTTTTCCCGATCGGGGCTTTTTTTTTTTTTTTTTTTGCCGAAAGTACCTATCTCTCTCGATAATAATTCGGTGTCCCTTTTTACCCGGGTTCTTTTCGCCCGGCGTTTCTCCGATCCACCGAAATCGGTTTTTTTTTTCGATAAACACATTGCAGACTTTTCGACTTAATTTTTTTCGTTTGACGCGTTTTTGTTATTATGATAATATTGTGTTTAGACTGCCGCGTTTCGAAGTGGTGTTTTAAATCGAATTAAATAAAAATAACTAACATGTTCTAAAGAGTGAAGATTGTTTTGTATTGGTTTTATATATAGTTCCTATTGGTTCTTAATAAATGAATTAAAATAAACGGTTCATGTCATACTTTTGGAAAAAATAAATACCTAGCAATAAATATTTTCGAGGTTATTTCGTTCTTGAGTAATAAATACGATCAAATTCTTATAATTATTATTATTATAATCTTATGATATTTACAAAAAAACACGTTTAAAACATAGCCGTTTTTTTTTTCGATTTCTTTTAATGAAAATATCCGTTCAGGTACCTACTCGGGTACCCGCAGCATTCCGTTTTAAACAAATTCTCTGCTAGAAAATTGGACGTATAATAATTTTTGTACAACGATACGTTTTGGTCCCGAGGTTTTTCATTTGTGTTATTTTTAATCTTGTATTTATTTTTCCCGAAATTTATTTATGTTTTTCTCGGATACCCAATTATTTCTAGAAATATTTCTAAATGTATTTCTTGCCGTCATTTCTGTTATAATATTATCATAATTCCGATAAACGAAACATTCACGTTGCGTGTAAGTGCGTTCGATACTCTCCCGGTGTCGTCGATTTTCGAAAAGCGAACCGTCGAGAAGACGACCGGGATTAAAATATTTAGGTACTATTACGAAAATACGATAAAATTGCGAACAAAACAGATTTTCGGTAATACTCGGAATAAAAATATATTTATACTCTTACTCGGATCCGCCATTCCGGTGATTTTGCACTTTGCAATGACAATAAAATAATAATTGAACTTGACGGATAAATTCGCGAATAGGTACGGAATAAACGCGGACGGCCACGCTAACGTCCATTTTTGTTTTATTCTTTACCGAATCAAGTCGGGTGTACTCGCTATGTTTTGTCCGTGTTTTATCGTCGGTTATTACAGTAATTGAATTATTTCGAAATAAAAACGCGCGTTTTTGTTATAATAATAGTATTATTCTGTTTTTAAAATGTATTTATTTGTTTGGACTCCGCGCGGGACATTGACGAGTTGTACAATTATTATCATTCATAACAATAGTAAAATAGTTACAGTGCATAGTGACAGTGTGGGTGTAATATTACTGTGATTATAGTATGACGATGAAATACGCAGTACAATAGAACAAATAATAATAACGAATACGTTAAACAAAGGTCAATCGGGTAGTCGAAAAACTAGAACAATTTCATAAACCGAACAAGGAACGGTCGATATTTGTTATCATACCGAGGTGGGACGTGATCACGATTAAACACATTATACAGATTGGGAATCGAGCTGTGATAAAGTGAAGCTCAGATTTTTTGAAAAAATCAGATGTGATGTTCCGACCATAATCACTAACACTCTTTCGTTCCCAGTGTCAAAAATTATTACTTGTCATTATCGTTTATCACTATTGTCATGACTCGTGGTTTCCACCTTCCAGTCGTGTCGTTGTTATTAGTTGTTAGACAATTCCGCCGGTAGCGTTAGCGGTTAGTAAGAGCAGTTGATTTGTTCAGAAGTTTGGGACTTCAAGATTCGGAATTGTTTATATGGGCCGATTCCCAACCTGTATCGCGGTTGGTGTGATGGAACGGTATGGGTGATTCATGAGGCATAGTCTAAATGGATTAGGGATGCCCGAGGAAGAACGAATAGGTCTAATCAACCTGTGGTGAGAAGGGTCGTAGTAATTTTATCAGCAATTCGATATCTCTTATCAATATCGAAAATACGAACGTTACTCTAATAACGTTTGAAATATTAATATAGCCGTATTAGTATTTTTAGTTTTACCCTGGACTAGGAATACCACGAAAACAAAAATATAAAGATAATAATATAAAGCACATGGCGATACCGTTGTTTACGTGCGACTATTTTGGAAAATCCCGCGGTTAATATTCTACAAAACAAAATAATAATGTAAACAGCGTTCAGTCCTGTATTTATAGATATAATATGTTTTGTAATTCGTTATTCATACCTCATAAATCTCTCCGGAATACCAACCGCAAATTCGAAACCGGCATGATAAGTAACCGCCACCGACTATTTCCCCTTAAAATCGGAATCTGTTACAAAACAATGAAATCCGTTTCGTTTCACCGGACGGTCCGATAATCGGTCACACGATTTTGTGACCATCTCGGATAGTCACGAGCGGTGACTTTTCGCCATTCCCCCTAGAAAATTATTACTTCTCGTTAAACCCGTGTGAGAGTGTCAGCGTGTTATCTCGTTCTACGATCATGATATCGAACAATCAGTGATACCAAAAACAACTAATTTAATTTAATTAATTTCGTTTTAAACGTTTAATCTCGTTGAACAATATATTTGTTTTATGACGGTACACAACCCGAGTACACAATCGAGTCGAACCTTTTTGTAAGTTTGGTTAAAGGATGGAGTTACATTCCACGAGTTACGGGATAATATGTTTTTTGTACATGAATATCGTCTTTGCCACTGGTTGCTAGTAACAACGCGCAAAGTGTCACAATATTTTGTAAACGGTTATCGATGGTTTACACTAGTGGTGACCAACTACGGACCGCGAATCGTTTTATAAATCGGCCCACGAAATTATTAAATGAAAATTGAAAAAAGAAATTAACTTTAAATTTCCAAATATATCACTCGCATAAAATAAAGATATGTTTATAATTTACATTTTTTTCTCAATCTATAACAATCAATGCATGATAAATAATTAAGTATGAACTTATGAAGATGTACCTACAATAAAATACAATATTTTATTAATTTGAAATTTAAATTTAAATTCTTGGCCCGTTAAAAATTGTTGTTATTTTTTCATGGCCCTCTATAAAAAAAGATTGGTCACCACTGGTTTACACCGAGTGAGGCCCGCTGGCAATCTCCACCACATCTGTACCGGTATCTCGGTACAGGGCCGAGTATAATACGTGTTCGGTTCGATGACGAAAATCATAATTAGATACTTCAGCGTGGACAGAGATTGGCATACATTTTGGACGCTGAAATTCATTAAGATCGGCCCTCCGTGTACGATGTATGCATACCTTAATCATGTTTGTTTCACTACCGTTAACTTATCCTGGGGTCGGGCGATTCTTCGTTCCCGCCTCCCTTGGTCCTTTGTCTATTGTTAATATTCCTCCGGTGTCTAATGAAACTAACGAGAAAAAAAAATGAATTATACGGGATAAATGATGACGCATGAAATATAAAGAGTGGCCGACTCTGAATAGTTGGGACGAAGGCGAAGGATAAGAAGACATCCTGAAATAAAGAAAATAAATGTAATAATATTAATACGAAATTCTCTTTATCATTAGGCAAGCAAAAACGCTCTTGTGTTTATACTTTTCAATTATTCCTTCCGTTTGTATACTTATTATTTGTACAATTTTCTTCTACTGCCGTCAGTGTAAAAGCTTCCAGATAATTGTCTGATAATGCAGGTGCCTTCATTATTCAAAATTATTAAAATAATTATTACATTATTTTTACTTTATTACCTTTAACATTATTGAATAACGTCAAATTTCTATAGTATCTGTAATTTTCATAATTAACTATTTAATAAAAAAAAATAAAAATAATTGAGAACTTAATAAAAATTAACTAATGAAATTATATAGTTATAATAATTATAATTATATACATAATAATTTGTATAGGTACCTATATTTACACAATTATGCACAGTAAAAAAAAGTAAAATTAATTAGTTTTATACGGCAGGTATACTGTGTTTCAACCATATTGAAAATAAATAGAAAGTTATACCTTTGATTTAAAAAACATATTATCAATGATGTTTCCGCACGTTTTCGAATGTTCCTTCGTACTTCAACAAATGTACCAATCTTACGGCTTTTTCCGAGTTTTTTTCTCAGAATTTGTTAATCTAAAAGTAAACTGCATACAATTTGTCCATAAAATAATTCTGGTACACATGAATAATATTCGATACCATTTAAAACTAAAATTAACTAACGCACCATCTAAGGACAAATCAAAATTTTGAATTTACAAAACAGCAACCGAATTACCTTGATAAGAACGATCCAAGATCCATGGTCGATAATCATCTCGTTCTGACGCAGTCTGATGGACTAAATTACGATAAAATATGAAATCCTGATCGGTAATTATTATCAAGTGAATTGAGAATTTCCGTGATTGCATTTTAGACATTAAGTATACAAATGTTATCAATAAAAGTAACCCGAACACCAGCTCACCGTAGGAAGTGTCCCGGTGTTCTACCCTGCTCTTCAGTATTTTTGAGTTATTCGGTAAATAATAATCTCCTATATTCGTATAAGTAAGCATTTTATGATAATAACGCCCACTCTAAAAGACATTATCGAGAATATATTAAGGGTGTTAAATCTCTGTAAAGAAACCGCGAACGAAATGTTTAAATGTGATCACGACAAAAATTATATTATTATCGGTTACTTATAATGTTACTGCAAATTTAAACCGATATGACGAGCTTACATAATATAATTTTAAACGAAGAAGTTATTTTCAACACGTTTCCTCGCCTGTGGTAGTGGAACACCAGTTCCGAAAGTGTAAGGAATTAATTATCGATACTTTGCATCTTTTAACATTAGTTTGGAAACAAATTTGTAATTACACTTCCGACCGTTCCGATTATATTCATAACCGTTTCGGTAGAATATAATACATTTCACTGTGTTATTAAACTTTTCTCTTTTTTTTTTTTATCACTAGATAAACGACTCGTGTAGGTATCCTATATCTACTTCCTATTTTGATAAAAAAATATTTGAACAACGAAGGTAACGTTCGCAAAAGTAGTTACCTACTACGGTCTCGCAAGAAGATAAGGTCCCTGACGGCTTTTCTCCGCTTGTATAATATTATTGAACGACGTCCGCTTGTTGAGCCAGAAATAGTTCGTATTTTACTCACCGTAAGCGCTTCCGGTTATACTTGTTTGAAGTTCAGTAATTATTATTAAACTCGCTCGTGTTTTTTGTTGATTATTTGTGTTATGTGTAACGATCGGGGTAATTGTATCTATATGTGTTCTGGCGATTTATTGTTCGTGCGTCCGTTATGTTTTATTGTTGAAAATCGTAATCGGGAAAAAGTGTGTGATCTGCAGCGATTCGCAGTGATCGCGAGTAAATTTCGCATTAGAATCTTCTCGGTAAGCGGACAATCGTTAAAGACTATTTCGTAGTCGTCGGACCGTCGGATCTTCTACGACCGACTATAGAGGAAACGACTAATTTTCGGAATTGAAATAATAATGGTTCAAGCCGTCGTCTCCGGTCGGGGTTTCGTTGTATAATATTACAGTTTTAAATAAATAATTGAAGAACGCTGGATGGAAAAAAAAAATAAACAAATAAAACATATACACAGTCGATTACACATATTATTATTATGATATTCGGGTTTATTTGGCATCCGCGTACACTTGGCGGGCTGTTCGTAAATCCCGTCCGGATATTTTATGTACAGAGTATGCGGTCCAGAAAAGCTAAAAATCAGTAAACAGATTTTCGTCGACGTTTTTTTATATTGTTTACGATACTTCCTCCCGTCGGGGTCATGAGGCGTTCGCGTGATGTTAACCGGAGCGCCGAATCGGATGTCCGCGCATTATTATAATTATTATTGTACGTCGTGTAACGAATTCTTGGAAATATTAATATTATCATCGGCCAGTATAATGGTGAATTAATCGTAACGTAGCCGGGAGAAAATTTCGTCCGTTAATAGTTTTTATCGGTACCTATGCTATTTTCAGAACCATAAAATACATCGAAATAACCTATAAGTAATCAAATATAATAATAATAATAAAAAAAAAGAGGCTGTTACTGCTTATGGGCGTGTTGCTGTTTTCGTTGGAAAGTCTGACGGTGTACATAATTATTATTTGATTTATATGCGTACGCAACGATAAACCGTGTCGCTAACGGAAAACGATTCTGAGCGGAGATTATTATTGTTATTTTCCTTTGTTGCCGAGGTTACGTGTAAGTCAACAGAATTGTTCGGTTGTTCCCGATTATTCATCGGGAAAACTACACGGAAAATCATACAAATTATAATTTATCGGCGGTTTATACTTACATTTTAACGTAAACGTATTTAAATGGACGGACAATAGAAAAAAAAAAGAGAACTAATGACCCGATTTTTATCATCATATTCTGTGTGGTCTTCGTGGAGGGACAATATTATTATTGTCATTATTATTATGCGTGTGTCTGGGGTGCGAGTGAAGATAATATTTAAGAGGGTCGGGTACCTATAATACGTGACAACGTGAACAAATACGCCCTCGGTACTGTGTAGTAATGTTTTTGACTTTTTGTATATATATATAGGTAATAATGAAATAACCAAAAGAACACGTTTCGGTTTTTAATGTACATAGGGTGGGTAGGTAATCAAACGTTTCGGATTTTTTTTTTTTTTAACGAATTCCCGGAAAATATTGTTATTATTATCGAGGAGTTTCGGAACCGTTTGATGTAATGTTATTTTATTGACAGTTCTCTGTAGTAATTTTTCCGATGAACCTAATAGATATAAATTAAACTTACGAAAAAATATAAATTACCTATATACCTATTGGGTATAGTATAGAAACATTTTTTGGCTCAGGGAACGGACCCAATTTTAATGTACGGTACCGACATTTTTTTTTTAATATTTTCGCGCGTTGAATTAAAAATATAAATGACACGGCTATTTCAACTATCGTAGTATTTTATGGACGGCGATTTCGACCCACGTTTTTATGTATAGACCGGGGTGGGGGGAAACTGTGTAGGTATTATCATATTATTTGGCAGTATGTGTAGTGTTTTGTCTAATAATACTACTCCCAGTAGTATAATACCTCCTAATATAAAACATCTAAACAAACATAGTCAATTTTATGTACCTATCTGTCTAATTTACGTTAAGTAACTGTTTGTTTTTGTTTTCAACAGTTTACACTCTTGCTTATGGTCAGCATATTATAATATTACGATCTAAAATAAATAGGTTTTCTTTTTAATTTTTAGACATTCGAACTGTAACCTACATAATATCAGCTACATTACGGTGTTTCACAAACAACATTTTGTTTCTTTGGAAAAAAAAAATAATATGTATATATACAGTATAATCATGCCTACACTGCGGAGGGTTTACTCATTCAAAGGATTAAGTATATCGGTATATAGTTTTTTTTTTTTTTTTTTTTACGGCATTCGACGTAATTTCACGGTGGTTTCGAGTTACCGGTTTTATTGTTTACCTATTCGTTTTTATAAACGAAATGTGTTTTGGCGTGTTGTAGCGAACGTATTTTAGGTTACGTATACGTTTAACGACGTGTAAAATTAATGGAAATATTATTTTGTCACGTTTTACAGATATTCCGGTATAATCAGTGTAGTAATGTAAATTGGTAATTTTACTTCAAAAATGACCAACAGTCTATAATTCGACTTCGATTTGGAGAATATTTTACTACGTGTAACATATAAGACTTGTTTAAATGTACAATAAACGAAATAGTAATTATAATTGTAGCTATCTGTGATTATTTTAAGATTAAAAGTACAATTACAATTAATGTTTGTATTAAACATCATTGTTAATCAATATATCAAATAACGTCTGTTTAGATATTTATATCAAATGTGTTTGTATTTTGTTTACATAAAACGGATAATGACACCCACGACCTTTTTAGAATTTTCATTATTTTGTATTTATTTATTTTTTAATTACTCCAAAAACACATTTAAGGTAATAGTATCTTGTATTTTTAGCGTAAAAAAATACTATTGATACCCCAATAAAAATAATCTTGATACAATTTACAATATTATTGTATCCGTGATACTGCCCTGCAACGGTGTATTTACAGTCTCTATATGCAAACGAGTAATTTGTAAATCGAAGGGTAAACTATCACATAATTAATCACTTAATTATTTTTATCAATGCCCGTGATACCTAGCGGATCGATATAAATATTATAACAACAGTAGCAGCCCCCGCAGTGGATAATAAAACAACAAATAATTATGTTATAGAGAAATTGAAAAACGTATTATTTGTCAATCGATTGATTGCCATATATATAGGTAATCATAATAATAAGCTAATAATATTAGTAATAACTATTTGTTTCGGTTCGTCGTGTATTTTATTTATTATTTCTTCTGCTCTTCGTTCCCCTGAGGGCACAGACTGTGTGTACGGTTCGATTAATGGAACCGATTGGATGTTCTCGCAGGCTTTAATTTCACATCCATTGTCGTCATCGCCGGCGTCTAAAATGCCTGCAAGTCGCTCAATCAACTGGCTTTATCGTGCGTGGTATTCTTATATAAGTATATATACCGGACGAGTACGGGGGAGAGGTGTAGGAGGAGAAAGGGAGTAAAAAATAAAATAAAAAAATACCACTGCGTGTCTTCAATATGCATTTCCAACCGAAACCCACGCAAAGTGGTGTTTTCCGATTTCTCATTTCCCCCCCCCCCTTCCTCCCCCGCCACGTACACAACACGAAATACATATGAAAAACCGTATTTACTTCCGTACGTGTATTTCAACGTTTTAAAACACCGACAAACCGCGAGTATAGTCAAATTCGTGTACGCCAGACATCTAACTTCCAACACTGTCCGTTTGTAAACCTCCACATAATTCGTAATAATAACGTAAACTTCAAGTTTATAGTTATCCCCCCCTCGTGTTAAAAATAAAATGTTTGCTGTTCACCTTAACACGTATCTGCTATACTTCTAGTGACTATTACGTTTTTTACATTTGCTGGCAAAACTCTTGGGAAAATCGAATAATGACATCACTAAAGTATCTCCCCAGTCAGATTTCCTTTTAGAAAAAGTGCTATCATTGTAATCGGAGCAAAATCATTAGTTTTCTAGAAAAGTTGTCTAAAGAAAAAAAAATCGTAATATTTTAATAATGTAATTTGTACATTTTTCCGTTTTTTCTCATTTATTGGGAAAACTCCTGGGAAAATCAAAAAAATGACCTCCCCAAGTTACTACAGAGATAACATCTTCTTTTAAAAAATAAGCTACACTTGATACATCGGAGCAAGATTTTTGGTAGAAAAGTTTGCACAACAAATCGAGGGGTATTTTACGATTAAAATAGTCCGATCGAGCAATGGCTTGGGTTCCTAGGTACATCCAAAATGCATTTGTGTTTTCCTTGTTTAGATAAAAGGGAAACAAATGTAAAACATTTTTTTTAAAACACTGGTTTGAACTCGGGAACTCTAGGATGAAATAGGTATGTTTAACCATTCAGCTACGATAAACATACTTTATAGATAAAACAATTTAGAGTTATTTAACATAACATATAATATCCTCATAATATCGGAATTTCAAAAAGCTATAATTTCGGAACTTAGCTAGTTCGCTTATTCTGACTTTCGTATCGTTCTAAATCGACAGTATGAATGTATTAAAAAAAAAAAAAAAATGGAAAAATTAAATTTGTTCCACATAATTTTTACTCAACGATTTTCGTCAAAATTTGATGTAAAAATTCCTTTATAAAAAAAAAAAAATACTACATTAAACTCAAATTGTTTTTTTTTTTTTTTTTTACTGCAAAATTAGACTCCTTATGAACCTTCTATTAAATTTTCAAGCATTTCTGTTAAGTCTAACAATTTTACTACAGAGTAAAACTCAGTCATAAACTACAAAAATCAAAAGCAAAATATTATTTTACAATTTTTTTTTTCTAGTTATTAAAATAAATAAAAATTTGTTGTAAACTATACAAATAAGAGGTAGAGATTGTTGTATTTCCAATTTACGGAAATAACGTATGTTATCGAAATGTTCGAGAATTTCTGATATGATGCCTTATATTAATATGCTAACTAAATTTCAATTTTGTATTTTATTATCTTACATTCGTAAATATACGAATCTTTATCCAAAATGCAACAAAATATTTCTCTTGTCCTTTTTTCCATTAAAGAACGATTTCTGGTATAAAACGTCGTGTAGGAGATCACATCATCTATATTTGGCAGGTAAAAAGGGATTATGTAAGAGTTTACACTATGTTTTAAAAACGGGTAAAAAGGTTATTTTTATAGGAGTTTACATGTAGCTCTATACATATATAGTAGCTAGGTAGGTTCCCGATTCTAAGTAATCACCGAGAACATAATATAGGTATATATGCAATATTGACATTAAATAATGTTTAAAATTGCTTTTTTCGCGGGTTACAATATAATATAATTTTGTGAATCGTGATTTAATGGTTTTTGAAACGTAGGTACACGTCAAGCGTCACAGTTTCTCTCCGACTGAAATCCCTTTTTTCAAAAATTTAACCTCTTAGTGTTTAGTTCACCTATAAAAAATGCGTATACCTATACCTACTTTACCTCCAAGTATCCTAATTTATCGTGGACAAATATTGACCGTCTTTTTATTATAAATTGTCTTTGTAGGTAACACGCGAAATATTCACCAAAGTTTCATATAGGTATAGGAACTTTGGTAATAATTCAACCACGACAGGAGTACAGCAGCTTTGTGGAAAGTTTCTCTTTGCGTCTCTCCCTCTCTTATATATTATGGTATTCTACCAAAATAATGAGATATTATTTCCTACCTATCATTCAGCTGGCCATTTAAAATGTCCAATTAATAGAAATTATAAAGAAGATACCTATAGTAAAGTTATATCGTTCTGATAATATAGAACTACACTGCAGGATATTATATTCGGGAAATTGTTAATACATACTTGGTATCAATAGAAATCACTGGTCTATTAAACCTATTAGTATCTATTTCACATTGATTTAAATAAATAATGATAATAGCCTAATAAAAACAAAGATTCAAGTTAAACCATATTTCATTAAATTATAAACTTTAAACTCGTAAATTAACGTGGTACCTACTCCAATTAATAAATGTATAATTATTATTTGTCTCGTTCGCGTCCGTACAAATAAGTTTAATCTTTTGTTAAAATTAATTGCTAATTTCGAATAAATGTAATTTTTATTATTAGTGTATCGCGGAGTTTCAGAAAAATTTCATTTTTTTTTTTGTATTTTCCTTTGTTTATAAGTTAAACAAACGGTCTTTTCCGAAAAACAACTTTTTCTTTAAGTTAAGAATATTCTCTCATTCGCCAACACATATTTTCAAGGATATTCTCTTATAATAAAACATGTCTATAATAGTGTATAATATCGTTTATTTTATGAATGTTTTTTTTTTTTCCATAAATAGGTACCTAAGTTATAAATGCACATTATATTTACGTAGAATACAAATTGCTGTATTCAAAATAATAATTTAATTTAATTATTATCTTGAATTTATTATTTATGTATAGTTATAATATTATAATACTTATACAGTTATTCCTGAACTGAACTAATAATTATAAATCGGGGAAAAAAAAACAATATTTAATTAATAAATAAATAATCTGGAATGGTGTTGCACTAACATGTTGTCATTTAAATTTATAAACGGAGAATTTAATATTTTAACTAGTAAAACGATTTTCAGCAAAGCTGATAAACGCTAATTTCCCATAATTAATAAATCTGATTTCGAGGACTTAAACGACTTAAAAATTCAAAAAAGAAATAGAATATGTTGACAGTTTTCGAAATTTTATTATAGACAAATATTTATAAATATCTATGTAGCGAAATGTAACGCTTGGAAAATATTCGTTAACATTTTGTGTTTCGTTTAAAATAGTCGTTGGTTTTAATAAAAATCACAGAGATTTTAATATATAATTGATCTCTGCGGTAGAAAAATATTCTACACGAATAAAATTAAAAACACAATTTTGGAAAGTTTAAAGTCAATATTTCAGGCAAAGGCTCTTTTTAAAACGATGTAATTTTTTCGGTGTGTTAAATCTTCTTTGCCTTATCGCGGTACACAAGTGGGGTCCACTATTGTTGTAATCCGCGTCCTTTAACCGTCCCTTTATTTGTGCTGTACGTTTCCCGTATACTTACTCTTAATAACCGCCACTCACATCTTTTTTAACTCGACTTTCCTCCTCCCTTGTATACTTGAACGGTCGTAAAATATTTACTGGTTATTATTATTATTATTTTTTTCTCCTTTGATGTCCCGTTTATAGTGAAGTTTATACTGATTTATAAAATGTGAAACGCAATAGCTGGTATTCACTTTAATACCGAGCAAATATCATTGGGATTTCGTTAAACGTTCGTGGATCATAACTCATAAGTTATAGCAATATGTAGATGTGCGTATATCATTGATTTTTTTTTTTCGTAGTCAACATATTGCGATCAAAAATGTTACAAAAAAACGATGTGTTGTTGCGAAATTCGTTAACATAATAATATCCGTGTTCAGTGTTTACCCTCAGTATAGCCTCTGCTACCTGGTTTTCGCTATTCATTATAATTTATTTAACTCCTTACAAGTTTCTTAACTTAAAAATCGCAAACAAATTGTCGATAAAAACAATGACGTTATTTTCGTCGAGATATTCTGTGTACAATAATATTATTATGTATATTATATATCTTGTAAAATTTAACGCTCGATTCTCGTTAACATTGTTGTCCTTTGTTTCTCCTTCCTCGTCGCCTTTACATTTTATCCTACGCACATTATTATACTTTATTTAACGAACTATTATACTACATTATAATATTTCAATACCATGAAAAATTGCCATCCATCACCTATAAACTTCAAAGAACAAAATATCAACAATACAATAATAATTTTCCTAATTTAATCTTTGTTTCTATTTACATATTTAGTGATATTATATAAATATAATGCAGTTTGATTGCAATAATTAAACACGCATAAAATTGTATTTTTACACTCTACAATAGGTATAACGATATTATTATTATATTCAGTTCGCGTAATTATTATTTGATTTTGATATCCCGCAGTGAGATGCGTTCAAATATATTTTATTCGAATATTATTCGATATTAACGAAGTTGGTAGTCGGTATAATATTATTATATTGGCGAGACGACATTATGCAGAACTTCGTTTAATTTCAGAAGTAGAACACGACGTACTCGAGTCTTGTGGCAGATTTGCGTTGCAAGAAAATAATGCGGTTCTGCAAGTTAATTTTCAAACTAATAAATCATTATGAAAAAATGGAAAAAATTCACACTGTTATCTCAAAATTTTAATACGCCAATTATCGCGAAATCAGAATTTTAAACTTAAAATTCTTTATTCTGGTTTATTCTCGAAAGTGTTTATTGGGAGCTTTATTTTTTGTTGTAAACTACCGAAAAAAATCAAAAAATGACCTTAAATAACGATTACGGTTGTCCTATTTCATCTTGTTTTTTTTTCACAGATTATTAAAATTTTTTCCAAGTAAATCTATGTATATCGCAAAACTATTTTTCATTTTTTTTTTTAAGATATTTCGTTATAATGGATAATGTTCCTTCGATAATAATTTCTATAAATTTCTGCTCCTTATTATTATTAATAATTTTTATTTCGCTATGGTATTATATATTACTTTTTATACTCGTGTATTCTCTATTTCTTGGTAAATTTTTCAATTTTAAATTTTGCAAAATATTTAATAACGTGCCTTCTGTCAGTGAGTGACGATGATACGATGCAATATTACTGGGCTTGCGAATAAAACGAACCGGGGTGCACGTGCAGAAGTTTACATTCCGAACAGACGACCAATCGCGAGATTCTTATATTGTAATAAATATCAATTACTTTTGTTTAATATAACATATATTGAACACGCCCGTAAATAATACATAAAAGAAGAGGGGGAAATCGTTTCTTTAAAAAAAAATAATTCATCTTCGTGCGTTTGATTTTAATAATAATTTGCACAATACTGAGAACTCTATGTCTGGTAATTTTGATTGGAAATTCATAAGTCTTATACTCAGTTTATTGAAAATGGTTTTTTTCTTTATTTTCTATGTTTACCTACATTCATTAAAATACATAGATATTAATGATAATACAAACACATACAATGTTTAGCATAAAATATAATTATCATTATGTTAGTAATGGTCTAGGGATTTTAGGATTAAGTGTTGGGTCAATCTGGTCTGATCAAAATTTTTTTTTTGTTGTCGGTAAACTTTAATGTGCTCTTTTCGTAATTCGGGAAATAGTCTACGGAACCGTCGTCATTTCTTTAAGGGGTCATAGGGGTGATTCGGATCATGGATAACCTAAAATCGATCGGCCAATCTATTGTGTATCGTCTTGTTGTTTATATTATTGTTTGCGATTGTGCGATAATAATCAAGGTTAGGTTGTAAAAAAAAAAACCATTGCTATGTTTCCGAAGCCGTGCACGACGGCCGCGGAGTGGACTGCAGCCGTCATATTTCAGGGTGTATACGGGAACGTCGAAACCAAAAGCGCACACTTATGAACCCGTGCAACAATTTTACCGCCGCCTCCTCCGCGCTTTTACTATATAATTTGAACGGTTTTCGGGGTTGTTGCGCGCTGCGGGGCCATGAACACAAAAGGGAGTTAAAAGGGCCGTGGGAGGGAGGGTGGGAGGAGGGAGAGGTCCATTAAACCGGCCCTGTAACGTGATCGGGGGTAGAAGGAGAGTCGTAAATCCCCGCGAAAAGCATTATCATCATAGTCACATATTATTATTATATAATACGGGTGGTCATTGCAAACACCAAGTGGACTCGATGAAATATGACCGAGTTTTAATTTTTTAATTTTTATTTTTAATAACAGTTTTTATACTCGCCCATAATATTATTCGTATCGACGCCCATGGGAATGTTTGTCAACGTCACGTGTCCCTAGTTAACGTGTGTGTGTGTGTGTGTGTGTGTATGTGTGTTTTTTTTTTCGTTTCTCTTGGCAATATATTTATTTATATAGCTAGGTACACCCCAAAAACCAACAAAACTAGTTAAAATTAAAATAATGAGACATTTTTTTTGCGGTTATTTAAATATTTATAGTGGCCAGTAGGGAGGTACCGATGATGATATTTAAAAAGATAACAAAATCACACTATATACTTCGAGAGTTTAGAAATGAAACTTTTTTTTTTTTAACTATTTTACCATTGTTTTGTAAATTTGTTCTTTATAAAATGTTCAAATTATAAAAACATGTATGAGACATAACAATATGTACCTATGCGTATGTTTTAAGAAGGTCGGCAGGTAAAATTTATACAGACTACTCGTTCCATCACCCTTGTTTACAAAACAAACTCCCATACAATTAATATTCCATATGTTCCAAATCGATAAAAAAATATGACTCAGATCCCCTGCATGGATCTACTACCACCCATCCATTAAAAGAAGAGAGGTGACCGCTACCTTTGACTGCTGGTACCGGTGCCACTGATACGGCCTCATCATTTGTTTGGTATCATAGCTATTAAATACGATACGAATACGGCATTGAACACAAATTTGCAAACCAAACACAGCTGACAGTATCGATCATATCGTTAAATCACTCTTACACGATATCACACAATATAATTATTACTTTTTTGACGCACACAATGTCACGCCGTTGTTTCTCTCTCTGTTATGTTAGCAGACAAAACGTGTTATAGATAAACCGTATAAATATACATTTCATATCAGTGATTGACACTGGAAAGTAGTCAAAACTCGTACATGAACATGTACAAATAATTGTATATAGATAATATGATCCAGGAAGACCCGGAAGGGACGCTGCGGTATGATTACTGGAGTGCTGAACAAGTGAGGCCATAATGTATGAAAACTATACAGATATGTCCCGTCCATATTTGTTTTATCTTTGAAACCAACACGGTTTACTTGTTATCGATTGAGGAATCGAGCGTAAAGTGGTCTCGGTTGGCAATGTCCCATCCGGATATTTATAATAATATAATAATAATGCCCATGATAAATTAAGAGAATTATTTTAAATCCCGATCTTGTTCGTGATATTTTAACCGAAATTACCTAATAAAATGTACGACGAACGACTTTATTAAGTAAGTAGGTAATAATATCGTTAAACGATTTGTCTTAACAAATTTCGTATTTATTCTTGTTTTTTATTTTTTATTTTACAGAATTTCTTGTGGTATCAATAGTTTTATCCTGAGGTCTTAAAATAACGGGTAAGTACACATGTATTCACTATAGTATTAATATGATGTACGCACTCGTTGCGAAATTAAAATTTTTTTAAGTAAACAATTTTCGAAACATTGAAGATATTCGAATATATTTTCGCGTGGCCAATAATATGACACGATGATTAACACAAATATTTTGTCCGTTATTGCAAACCGCATTAGCTGTGTATTTTATCATTTGTATTTATTTTCTTCGGTTGTCGCTTCCGTTTTACATCATTTCTCATAGCCCGGGGTTGTTATCATAATAGTATAATGGAAACAATTTTTACGTCACCAACTTAATCCACGCATCACAAACACCGTGCAAATTCTCTAATAAATGCATTTATTAGCGATTTATTTAATAATAATATAATTCGTTTTCATCATCGAATACGCGCCTCGGAATTATTATTATAATTAATGATTATCGTCGCTGCAATATTTCTCAATAATTCGACGAGGGAAACATTATTAATCGTGATAATTACAAATTAAAAACAAAAAATTACCACCCCGCCATATATATCGATATAAACTTTGGAATTTGCGTTTATATTATTATATTATAATCTCGTATAATAAAATCGGTTTTAATTTTGTTATAAATTTCAAACAAAGTTAGGTGTATCTATACATATATATATATATATAGTTTTGTGTATTATAATTTCATAAAGAAAGAAAAAAACTACTATAATGTATACATTGTATAAGATGTATATATATAGTTCAAAACGTGAAAGTTTAGCCAACAAAACATTAAAGTCTCGATTAAAGTGTATATGGGTGTGTGTGTTCTCGGATGATAATAAAACATATAGTTTCTGCATATACGGGAAAAATACGGAAAATCTTTCCGTATACAGAATATATTATTATACGATAGTCATACTTACGTGACGTTTTCCGCGCGATACGCCGTGTGAAAAAAAATAAAATAAAATACGCCGAAGACCCGGTAAACCTCGGCGGAGCCTGTCGTCGTTTCTTTTTCGAAAACTCAACATTATCAGTACACCGCCGGTGTACGCGGCCGCGGGATTACGCGTACAGCGGATACGCGATTCCGCTTCCGACCGATTCTCCCCCGGTCTTTCCCGTCCCCTCGCGCACCAGTTAACGCCGCCTACTGTAGTCGTCAAAAGTTTTCGCCCGTATAGAACGCCTCCGCCGCCGGCGCGAAAATCGCTTAATCGAATAAAGAGTGGAAAAACACGTGTACTATCGCCCCTCCCCTCCCCTACGCTCCGTCGGTGGCATCACATATGTGAGCGCGCGCGTTTACGGAATTCGCGATTAGACAACGGCGCGCGAAGCCCCCGCGAGTGGAGCAGACCCGAGACGATACTCGTCCCCTCGAAACAGTAACGACAATAATTCGACCGTCGCACCTAGTGATGTAAATGCGAGACACTCTCAGCTGAAAATGCGGTACTCGTGGGTGATAATTCACCTTCCCCTCCTACAAACAAGTTTAGAACCAATGTACTTTCCTCTTTTTTTTTTGCGATAACTTGTTACAAAAAATACAAACTGAAAGATATTAAAATATCAATACAGTGAAACCTCTAAATACTGGACACTCTCGGTCATTGGCGTTTTGTCGTCCTCTATTGCGCCATTCAGGGGGGGGGAAGTGTCCGTTATTTAGTGTTCCGTATTTAAATTTAAAAGCTTTCATATGTAGGTAAATTGTGAAAATATCCCCGTTCCCAAAAAAACTTCCGCTATTTAGAGGTGTCCGTTAAGAGAACGTTTAGTTTGGGTATTCATATAGTTTTAATATAAATTTGTGACGAATATATATTATTTATGATTTTGTCTTGATATTTTTAACAAATATTCATGTTACCTTCCCCAAAAAGTCCTAGTTACGCTACTGGCAGCGTCTATTTTCGGATCGATCGAAAAGCGTTATCAATTAAACATGATAACAACAATCGACTTTCGATTAATTTTTTAATAGATTTTTAATAATTTTTTCCTACTTAACCATAATATTATATACTATATACTCATAGAGTGACCAACGAAAATACCCATTGCAATATTTCCCGAGATAATAAATGTAATAATATTCTACATTTTTTTTTTAAATAACTCACAGGCATAAGGACTACAAATATTTATAATTTAATTCAATTTATATGTTCTGGTAAAAAAACCAAAACAATCTTATTAAACTCGTGATTTTTAATTTTTTTATAAAGTCCACACAATTATGCAGCAGGCTGTAGGAAAAATAAAAAGTTGATTCTTCAACATTTTCCAAAAAATAAACACTATAAAATCTTTAAAGTTTTCAAAAATAATAAAATAAAAAGTTATTTTTTTTTTTTTAAGTTTTTTTTACCAAAGCATAACAGATTAATTGAATTATAAATACGTGCAGTCTTCATCCTCTTGAGTAACATAAAAAAAAAAAAAAAAACAGAATTTGATTATCTTTATTATCGTCCGGAGATATTACAATGGGTATATCTTCGTGGGATACTCCGTATATTATACATACTGCAGTGCGTTCTTATCTATATTTTTCGCTTTATGTATTGTCGTTTACGCCGGAAGAACCACAGGGAGTCGCGATCATAAAGTCTAACGGACAACCCGGCGCGAACAAATGCACACGTAAAAACGCGTTTTTTATTATTATTTTTTTTTTTTTTTTGCCCGAGACCCGAGGGTATGAATCGGACCCGTCGTCGCCGCCGCCGCCGATGTCCGATACGCTATAATACCTATACACTTCCTCATATAATATAATAATATAGACGGAGCGTAAAGGAAAATAAAAAAAGGAAAAAAGATTTTCTCGTGATGCGACCGCGAGAAAAATATCCTACAATTGATTTTTCTATATATAATATACGTGCCTGCAAAACCGTATAACGTGGCTTCACTGCATTCGATGGGATCGAATATTTTACTTATAGATAATAGGTATATTTCAAGTATAAAATATAGTCGAAAGTAAAAGTATGAATGTAGTTAAATTTAAAAATTGACAATATTTTAAGCGCCTAATACGTTAGTTTTTTTTTTCATTTTTCGAAATACGAGTTTTCGTCGTATAATATTCCAACGCCTATTCTTACCAGCTTATATGAAATAACTGCAGATTTCGAATTAAATGGTTTTGGCACATATAGCTGTCGAATTACAATAATAGCAGCCATTAGCCACCAGATCTCTGTATGATATCGTTAATCCGTTCAAAGTTCTGTATGGGCGCAGACCCGATACACGAGAATTGGTATAACAGTTTAAAAAAAACATCGTGCATTCCGTTTCAACCGTTAAAATTTGAAACGTTAACAGCTGACGGTAAATCCGATGTTTGTAATTTTCAATATGTACAGAATGAAAAAAAAAAAGTTACATTTTCGATACTATGAGCTTTGTTTAAGTTTTAATTATAATTTAATCGTTATAATTGTTTTCGGTATATATATATATATACACACATACACATACACATATTATATATATATATATATATCGTATTCCGAATTAATTTTTAAAAACTAAATAATGTTTGATTTATATGACGGACAGTATATAGGTAGTTAAATATTGCGTTGGTATATGGATACTATTATTCAATTTCAGTTTGCATTAATAATTTATAATCGAAAGGGGGGTTTACCCTCTACAGTATGTTGTAAATATTTTGTTCGAATCGTATAATATTATTCCGGATTACGTGCTCTTCTATGAACAACAACGGTTCGTATCGATGTATACGATATTACAGTAATACGCGTATCATCGTGAAAATTATTATTTATCATTCTATTTAAACAACATGTTCCGTATTATTATTTTTAAATACAGGTGGAGATATTTTTTTAATATTTTTAAAAATACAAATTTTTTTTTTCTCTGGCAAATAACAATGCCGGATAGTTCAACAGTACAAATATCAATCGTTATAGTCTCTAAATACGGCAGCTCTACTGCATTTAGGTATACTCTAGTGTATAATATAATAATATTTTCGTTACAATCGAAGGTCTTACAGAATACGAGGTCCGACGGGACTCCGCCTCTGCCTTTTGTTCACTTGTCGGGTCAAAAAATGGTTCTAATTTTGCTCGCTGTACGCGGCGCTGCGTTGCAATTATACGTCCGTGCGCCGCGTTCGGAGTCGAGTAATGTTGTTAAAAACTAGCTTGTGTTTTTTCTAAATATATTCTATTCGTGTTGTGTGTAATCGGGACAATAATCGTTTTCCGGTAATTTACGACTTTATATTGTCGAGTTTAATCCGCGCCGCGAACCCGTGCACGATTCGAACTAAATCCGGCTCGGTGACGGATACGCCGACAAGGACTAGTCGAGGGACTTTATCTTCTAACCTAGCTATAATAATAAAAAATATCGGGTACCTACATATACCCTACTGTATAGATTTCATCGAGGGGATTACGAGTAAGATTATGAGTACTACGATATGATGTTCGGTGAAAAGGCTCCGTCGGTTTGATTGCGGATACGCACTTATTATATAATATTTCCGATTGTATTATAATTTGATTCGTTATTTTTCAATTCGACCCCATATTTTCTCGTATATATTATGTATACGGACCCAGGATATCTCGACAAAATAAGCAGTTATAATAATCACAGACGCCATCATCGTTATTCAAAACGTGTCAATGACGATATCGTACGTGCTGGCGTCAAGTAAACTGCGGATCATATGCAAAGTCATACCGACGACTGAGCATTACCGACGTGTTTTAGACGTGACTGACATAAAAATAAAAAATTAAAATAAACACCGCGGTATTTTTAAATGTATTTTTACGGTTGGTAATTTTGTTTTGTTTTTTTTTCTCAGTAGATTGTCGTATTTTTATATCCGCTAATGAAATGTAATTATTTGTATTTTTTTACAAAACTCCACAATCGGGGAATAGTAAATTAAGTAGGCTAAGTTAAAAAAAAAAGAAAAAAAAAAGGGGAAAACATTGACATTATTTCAAAAGATTTTTTGAATTCTGTAATTAATTCGTTGTTTCAAAACTCTTAGCAATAAGACAGCGGCTCTAAATTTAACCGGAAAGTAGCGGTTTGTGTCAAAATTCTAACAAGTTCCATTGATTAACGTGAGTTTTGATACTGCAGAACCCCATTAGACTCGTATCAAATATCGTACGATTCATAATATGATAACTCCCATGTTCTGTTTTAATTATCCAAAACTAGGATGTTCCGTGCGCCTTTAAATTCAAAACTCGCATGTTTCAGACTTTGATTTTAAAAACATGTATATTATAGAGAACGACGACTAAAATGCATTTTGGATTTATTCGTTGTAAAACCCTTTCCCCGTGTTATTGTCGCGGTTTGTTTTTTTTTAAATAAACGAGGAATTTCGGTTCTACCTTACTCAAATAGTAACAATAATAATAATATCGGTAATTTATTCTAAACTCAACGGCGGGATAATATAAACGACATTATACTATTGATTATCAAGATTCTGTAATAATTTATCCGCCTACAAACGAAAACGGTAGTGCGCGATTGGAACGCGAAATAATAATCATAATAAATACGACTCGGGAAACAACACTCCCATATCGTAATAAAAATGCATACATTGAATGATATACCTACATCGCCGTTGATGAATGGTTCCCGGAGGACGACGCGGACGACGCGACGTATGCCCCTCCCCCCCCCGCCACTGACGCTGCGCGATGTATCAGAATAATGTAGGTACTTAATATTTCGGTAATTTTATTTATTTATTTTTTTTTTTTTGTTTTCATCTACACAGCGGCGAAACCAAGACGGTGTCTCGACCCTTTATATCACTCGATTTATATACGTACGTATTACCCTCCGCTATAAAGTTCAGATGACTCATCGCCGCCGTCGTCGTCGAAGTTCCCCTCCTCGCGCAGGTCATTTCCTCGTGTGTACGTACATATATATATATATACGCGCACGTGTGTGTGTGTGTGTGTGTACACGATATGGTGTGGCGATGGGGGCCGAGAGAGGAGGAGTACACATAATACGGCGAGTACATATTATATATACTGGAGAGACTTCTCTCCTCCGTGGCGATTTCTGTTCTTTTGTGTCTCGGCGGCCGTTGACTTATTGCCGCGCGCCACTGCTGCACGGTCGTTTGCAGGGTGCCTAACCCGATAAGACCAGATCGAGAAATGAACCAATACGCAGACCCATCAGTTATTATTTTTCCGCACGGCCGGGGGAGTGCAGTACACATAATAATATATTAGGGGTGGAGGGGGTGGAATTGTCTTAGACGAAAAATAAATTATACTTCGTCTCGTACTTTACTGTTATATACCGAAGAAGTCGTTACATTATTATTATATTATACACGTCGAGCTTATATAATGTGTGTATATATATATACCGTCCAAACCTAACGCATGCATAATTTTATAACAAGTATTATTTTCGACTAACCGTTTTTCACCAAAGTATTCATAGTTTTCTTATGTAGTCTATGACTATGTCAGACTATATTATATTATAATCGTAGCGTAATACCTGCAATCTCGCCTATAAATTATTATCGTAAATCGTACCGAAATAAATATTTTTTTATTTTAAAATATCTAAACGGGTGTACGATAAGTAAAAAAACGCATACTGTTTGAATTATCACTGTAGTATAGCATTAAAATTTTTAATTTTCTCGCTATTATTGTTGGAACTCGTTCCCGCGGGAAGTTCTTCAGACGAGACGGATATCTAATGGCTATAATGATACCTATTAATAGGGTTTAGATTTGAAAGCAAAAACCTTTTTCTTTTTTATGTGTAATAATAATAGAAAAATAATTTTTACATAAAAATGTGTTTTATTTAATATCAAAGAAGATGGATGCATTTTTTTTTTTTTTTGCCTTTTTTTCTTTTATATTTATCATGGTGTATATAAATTCATCAAAGTAATGTCGAAATACAAAGGATGGGAAAATATCAAAAAACTCAACCAAGTAGTATTAATTGGTGAAACAATAAATGATGACCATTTAATAAATATTAATCTTAATTCAGGTAACTATTTATGTATGAAATACGTTTTATTAAAGACGGTTTATCTAAGTATTAATTTTTTTTTAACACAAACTAATTAAATCAACTGAAATCTATTCGTTTTTTTAGTAAAGTCAGTAATTGCGTTTTTTGCCTTTTTCCACATTTTAAATGATTTTTATATTAAATCCGAACCCTACATATAAATGTAAATAAGGTTATATAAATCTGTTTCAAAAAGCAAGTATCAGTGATTATTATCTTTTTTATAAATCTCATAATTTTGAGATTTTGATCGTAGTAAGAATATATTGGTTTTACAATATGTTTTATTTTTTCTGTTGTTTAGTTATTATTTCGATTTTACAGATTATTTTTATAATAAATAGGAAAACATATAAGAAAAACGGACAAATATTTACGGCGTTTTTAATTTTAATTCGTTTTATCGTATGTGCATAAGATAAAATACTTTAAGTACATATTTGAAACGTTTTCAAAATACAATCAAATTTTTGTACGGTTAACTTTAAAATAATTACATTTCAAGTAGTAAGAATTTATAGAGAATCATAATCAGTTTTCCAAATTCAAATCTGTCAAACACAATTTCCGGCTTTAAAGTCGAAATATCGATTAATATATACACCGTAAGTTAACCAAACACCTTATTTTAGATTCTGAGTGTAATGAAGAATGTATTGGTTTTACTAAGATGTAATTTTTTTTTTTTTTTATATATACTGAGTACAAAAAATCTACCAATAGTTTTGCTCAGATATATACGGGCGAAACCATTTCTAAGAGGGAATGTGTTCAGTTGGTACTTTTTGGAGGTAATTTCTTAGCAATTGTGAAAAACCGGGAAAAATCATAGGAAAATCAGTACAATTAAAAAAATATAGAATACTTATTTAATTATTTTACCATTATATGACATATATATTGTTAACAAAGCATCACTATCAACTGAACTGCGCTCAGAATGGTTTTTTCGTTAGCAATAGTTTATCGTTGCTTACAGATATATATATTAAATTACCTATAAAAGTCGCTGCACCCTCTCTATTATACTGGGACGTATGTTTATATTTTACTCGCGATTTATGCGATTAAATGTTGAAATGTCATTCGCGGTAAATATTTTAAAATAATAATTAACAGAAATCGAATTCAAAATCAAACGTACTTTTAATTTTCCAATGGAATTGAAATATTTTCGATTTATTTGTATGCATACTATAATTATATATATATATATATACTGGTAGGTACCTATATATTATATTATGTAAAATAAGCGTACGATATAATAATAAGTGTTATTTGAGGGTAAATATACTTGTTGACCCGCGAGCGATCAATCATTTTCATAGCCGCCGTTAACGTGTTAGCCGGGAGAGAGGAGAGAATGATTATTACAGCAACAGCCAACACCGGAAAAGTGTTCATGAGGAGGAAAAGAAAAAAAGAAAGAAAGAAATTGGAAGGAAAATCCGTTTCTGTTCACTTTTATATGAAGCTGTCTGGTTGATTTGTTGTTGTACCTCTTTGGCATACGTACTTTATATATAACGCGGACTGAAGGATCGCGGGGACGGTTTTTAAGTTTTTGGAATTTTGACAAAACAAAACCATTAAGAAAATGAAAGTTTGATTTATTCAGACTGCAGCAATGGCGGCCGCACTGCAGCAAGGGCACCGTCTATTAGTCTAGTGAAATATAGCGGTCGGTCGATCGCTGCAGCAGTGTAGTGTTTAGCGCGCAAGTATTCTGCAAATAAATAATTTCGACGCCATTGTGGCATTGTCGTCCCTCCTCACCTTTACCGATTTCACCTCTTTTTTGCATTGTTGTATTTTTGTTTTTTTGTTTATTTTTTTTTTTTAAGTGACCAAAACTTACTGGACACGGGTAGTTAGCTACCACCACACCATAATAATGATAATAATAAAATAGGTTTAGAAGTTTTTGAAAATAAAGTATAAAAACCTTTATACATATATACAGAACAATAGCTGCACGTCCCTTGAGTTGTTTTCTACAAGCATAATATAATATACATGTATAGGTGTATTATTTGTTCAAAATAAACCGCATTAAAAATTTCGAAAACTATTGTGCGTTTGGGGAGTAAGTACTTAAAAAATTATTTATTTCATTTGATTATATTATTTTATTGTATTCTTTTAAATGTTAATTCGGTTGTAATTACAGAAAATAGTTTTCGCTATGCTTACTGCAGCTTGTTAAAATAATTATGTTAATATTTTAAGTAAATTCGGAAAACAATAACTGCGTTATTTACTTAAATCTTTAAAAATTGAATTTAACATTAGTATTTGTATGTATAAATGTGTGAACGTATTATGTTTCTCGACTCGGGTAGTCAGGTTTATAATTTTATAAACTATCTTTTATCCATTATAGTTGTATGATTAAAGATGTTTAAAAATGTCGAGACTTTCACACTGAGCATATGAAAAACTACATTGAATACAACATTATTAAATCTAATCTACATTAGCTTTAAATTAGTTGATTTTTTAATTGGAATTAGATAGAGTTTAAAAAAATAATCCCTTATACTCGAATCGAATTTTGATATGGATTACTTTGATAAAATTTAAAATTTGCCACAAATTTAAAGAATTCTTATCTCAATAATCATCAAAGAGTATATTTTTACAATCAAATATATTAGGTATCTACAATAATTTATTATAAGTCAATGGGGTTTTGACTTTATTTTCTAATAAATGAATAAATATTAAATACTTGTGGTGTTTACTAAAATATGATAAACCGTAGGTTTTTATTTTGATAAAATCGAATGTTAGTGTTGATTGATTTTGTGAAAACAATAATCAGCCGAGAGTTTACGGGTTTTTTTTATTTTTATCAATACTCGTATATTGAACATAAAATGCATAAAACCTCTATTACAGGAAATATGAGAATTATTTGTGAAACACATTTGTGTTGAATTTTAGTTGACTAAAATAAATATGACAAAAAATGTGTAAGTTGTTATTACCATAACGAATAATCCTCTCAAAGACGACAACGTTACAATGACGATCTATTTTACAATATTAAATGATAGACGGCAATGGTATTATTATTACTTCTACAAAGAAGTTTTTTTTTTTCTAATCAATATCATATTATTATAATAATGATATATATAAATGTATAATAAGGTGTTGGATATAATATATAGCATGTTTCTATAATATAATACGTAGAAATAGGTATTCTCATAGGATATGAACTTTAAAATGATTTATTAAGATACCCGTGAGTTAGTTAAATTATTGTACATAACCTTCTGCTCTGAATACTATATTATAGGTATACGAACGGTGTATAATATTTAATTTATAATTTATCACATCTGCTGTACTATGACGTTTGCGGAAAATTTATACTCGAATAATAAAATTAAAATAATTATTTGTTTTTTATTACTACGCAGCTATAACTTTATTATATAGGATGTATTTAAATTGCACATAATATAAAATTATAACCAAACAATTATCTTTAAGAAATTTGATATCTCTAAAGATAAGGTAAAGAGATAAAGAGATACCTCGTAGATTTGCTCAACACAGTTTTCGATTGTAATAATTGTGTCGTTTGTTTTCAAATGTTTTATAATATTATTGTACGGTACGACGCGATTGCGACTGTCTTGCACAAAGATAAATAAATAAGTAAAATGTCTGTCTTACAACAAAATGCCTATGCAATGTATTTGCACACGGAACGACCAAATAAAATTAACCAATAACAATATTAGCTAAAAAATCGAAATTCATTTAAGTGTAATAAAGTGAATAATATATCATTACATAAGTTAGAATAAATTTCGGGTGATTGAAGGTTACACGCATTGAGTTTAAGATTCCTAGCGAAGTGTATTGGCTTTACTATGATGTATTATTTTTTTTTGCACGTGTATACAACTTTTTTATCAAAAATCTTGTTCTAATCAAAAACTTTATAAGAATTTTCTAGTAGTATTTTTAATATAGATAGGGTAGTGAATTGGGGAGGTTATTTTTGTATTTTCTTTGTAGTTTTTTTTTTTTAACCTATGGGTAAAACTGGCAATTTTTTGCGTAATTTTTGTCGATTTCTGGGTTACGTTGGCAACAAGGAAATACATACTTTGCTATGAATCGTTTTTTGTCTTGGTTTATTGTTGCGTTCGAATATAAATTAAATTACTCTGTATATCCTCCCTTTTGACTGTGCTTCTAAAACAGTGGCACGCCCGTCAGCGGAATGAGAATTTATTTTATTATACGTTAAAAAAAAAAAAACCTGGTATTCAGAACTGTTTAAAACAATTCGGAATATTATTAAATATCGTTAACAATTGTATCGAACCATAAGTTCTACAATAATAATAATAATAATAATAATAATACTATAAAGATCGTAAAGGGGTCATCGTTTTTTTGAAATATAAAAAAATGCTTGTAAAATTGATTACATTATCGAATAATAATAGGTACTTCGTGTTATTATTATTGAAAAATATACTGCAGAGCCGAACCGTGAAATTATTTAAAAAAGCGTTTTCGAATTCGTCCCCTCATCCGAGGTGTGAGATATACACGTCGCAGAAGAGTCGCAGGAATGTTTTCGGTCTCGCTTTTTGTTATTAATGCACCCCACAAGTCCCTAACGCATTGTTGACTACAATATTATATAAGTATTAAAAAGTATTATACAACGTTGAACACATGGTAGTTGTTCTATACACCGCGGCCGTATATACAGTAATAATTTCGGTGTAATCGACAGGCTGAGTGTGGGTTAAAAAAAAAATAAAAATAAAATAAAAAAATGTATCGTATACCTATATAAAACCTAATTTACATATAATCAACCGTTGTAAAAAAAATATAATATTTTTATTTTATTTTATTTTTTTGTAAACGACCCTTATTTTACATTATTGTTACTTTTTTTTTTGAAAAATAATTTATGCCTGCAACTTACGATTATTTTATTTCAAACATATACATACGAATATTAAAAGTTTCTATAGTATATTTACAATAACTGCAGTTTTCTCGGTTTTAAACGCTTTTATACGAAACGATTTATCGATTTTTTTCACATTTTTCTTACAGAAAAGTATTGTGTAAAATTTGAATGTAAAAACCAGTTGTTCGAACGAAAATTCGGTACAAAAATATTATAATTACTTAATTCGCGTACCTATAGTAGAAACTGCTGCATGAGTTTAATATTTCATTATGTATAGAAATACCGTGTTTTATACATTATTATACTTATTATTAAATACAAAGTCTTGTGTTTTTCTATCGGCGATTAACACGTAATATTGTAAATAATAAAAAAAAAAAATTAAAAAATTAAAAATACCATAACATGAAATTATTATATTGCTTGTTGTAATATTATTATTACTGACCGCCACGCGAGTATACGAGCGTATCTGTTATGTTGAATCTTCAAAACCGGAAGCTTTAGCTTTAGAAATCCATATCGTTCGAATCCAGTTTTTGTGTTTAACGTAAACAAAAAAAAAAGGGAAAAAATAAAAGTGCCTCGGTGTTATTTTGGCTTCTTCTTTATTTATATTCGCGTTATTATGGTTTTAAATATCTATATGTACCTCTACTTATTTTTATTAACTGCTTAAACATTTTTTTCTTCATAACATTTTAGAATAGGCTCGAATGCGTTGTTATTATCATGTTTTTTTTCATGCAAGTAATCTAGGTGCCTTAAATTCGTGGCGATGACGAAACGCGCTACTGTGAAATTACTGTTCTCTGTAAAACAATTATGTATAATAATATAATATAATATATTTGCTACGTTATTCTTTTTATTCTAAATTGCAATCGTTATTGTTTTTTTTTTAAATACACATTTTTACAACAGGATTAAAACCATTTATTTTTTCCGTTTGGTGGTAAAATTATTACTTGTTCTAATATTAATATTTTTCAATATATTATAATATTTCCTCTCGTATTTTTTTTTTTTAAATTCAGAAAATCAACCAATCATACCTATATATACCTTTTTTTTTTTTATCGATTCGCTTCGTTTCTCATTCATAATAATTATTGTTTTTAAATAGCTTTTTTTTTTTATAAAACCCCTACATGACTTTTGTAAATTGAAAATGGCAAAATAATTTCACGCAGTTTATTAATTATGTTGTAAAAGTGTTTTTTTTTTTTTTTTTTTACATATAGGTGCATTCAATTCAATTTGATTCTGGCCAAATTGTTTTATATTGCATGATAAAACAAGTACAATTGTTAAATAATCGTTTTCGACAAATTAGTATTTCTTAACAAAAACTTTTTCGTAATAACTTGCACGCAGTAATTTTAATCGAAAATCTTAAACGATGCAGTGTAAACTTCATATCTGCATAACATTTCATATTAATATTATTGTGAAATCATCCGGTCATGTTTGTTTAGCCTGACAGTCGTTCGCAACTATCGCATAATGCTAAACAAGTTATTTTGTGCAAATATTTGTGTACATCGTTTGCTTGAATATATTGTTCACTAACTATAATAATAATATTATATATTGTAAATTTCCCATATTGAAATTGTACAATATCTCTCTTGGCGTTCAACTATTATTATATGATACACAGTTGGATTTGATATATACTTAATAGGCTGCATACGAATTGGGTTCCTGAAAACGAAAATATGCGTCCCGACAACCGAGTTGCGTCCGCGGTTTTTTCGGCGACGGTTCCGTGCTGCGTCCGTGAGGATAAATGTTATTCTATTTATATATGTTTGATGAAGTACTCGTTAATATTTATTCGTCGGTTATCGATTATCGATACGACGATACCTTATTATGGGTTGGTAAATATCACCTTACAATTTATTGTTGAAAGTTAACTTTGTTCATGTTGTTCATATCAAAAATATTCAAACTGATATTTATATTAAAATGCAAAGCTCAAATTTAATAAACAAACGAAGAAAGGATGTATAAAACGAAGATTTTATTAAAAATAATTAGTTTGAAACAAAGCTATATCATGTCTTGAGTTCGTTCAAAAATTTGGCTTACAAGAATTTACCCGTTTTAAAAAATAAAAAGGAAAATATGTATATGCCAATTATTAACGCGGACTCAACTCGGATGTGCCGTGAAAAAATCGCCGATGCAATTCGGACAAAATATCATTTATGGAAGCAATTCGAATGCGCCGATATAATAATATTATTTTTTAAAATAGCAAAAATGTACTATCGACAAAAATAAACTAGATACCTCTACTATGCAATAACTGGATAGAATTTTCTTTTAGAAAAGTCACTACCCTTGAATTTCGGAACAATCTTTTTGGTAGAAAATAAAAAATAATGAAACTTTAATTGCCGTATATTTTTCCGGTTTTTCTTAATGTCTTTTTCTAATTATTATAAAAAATTGTTTGAAAAAGTTTGGTCACTGTTGGTTACTTTGAAAAATATGTTACAAATGATTGCGAACCAAAAGATAATTCTGGCAGAGTAGAATTAGTCGTGTTTTTCCTTTGTCGCCAATGTAATTCGTGAAATCAACAACAAATTAATAGTTTTTCTAGATTATTCAAAAGGCTACGAAGAATATGAAAAAAACACCAACTAGTTCAAAAATGCTATTAGAAAGTTCCTATAAAGTTTTCAATTGGAACAATATTTGTGGCGGGAAAGTTGTTAACAGACGGGAAAAATGTATTTTTCCTGTTTGAATCTCATCATAGTTAAATCAAATACACTCCTATCTGTGATCAAAAACTAAAATGTGATAATTCTCAACGGACCATTCAAATAGCATAGTACTCACAACAACTTAATACAGAGTTTATTATAATGGTAATTTAAGGGTATAAGCACCTTTACGGTTTTTTTTTCTTTTCAGTTATGCTCAAGGAATTAAAACCATATTATACTCGTATTAAACGATTCGTTATTTGGTGTTGATGTAAATATAAAACCCTCTAAAATTCACGTTAATTTACAATATCATATTACATAAAGTATGTATCGTATAATCTTTTATACGAATTCGTAATGTTACGATTTATTTGAACATATATAATTATTATTATTATTTCGATGTCGTGTATAGAAAAATTAAATTAAAATAAAGTAAATGAAAAAACATTTAGAAAAAAAATTTATAAAAAATACGGTCATTGAACTGTAAGTGCTGGTCGAACAACACTTTTCGTGAGGGAACATAATTATATATAACTGGCGTATACATATAATATTATATTGATAGGGGTCACGTGTAAAATCCATTCCGTTTGAATGAATCGGATTTGGTCCTTTAATCAGCAGTTTTTATTTTATTTTTTTTTTTTTAGTTTTTATATGTACCTATATTGTATAATGTGTATATAAAACGGAATATTAAAATGTTTTACATTTAAATTACTCGTACCATACCACAAATTAATTGGCTCTTCACATCCCGACATCCGGTATATGTACTCGAGTAATAGTTATAGTTCAGTATTATCAGTTTGGTGGTATTTTTCCGGGGGTTGTTTTATTTTTGAAACGGTTAAAATAATATGATTGTGACCTAAAGTTTTCTGCGTAAGTATACCGCTTTGCCGTGATTTCTGATTTGTGTTGACATTTTTTTTTTTTTTTTATGCTTTTCGAACAGTGCGGATAGATGAAATATGTTTCTGGATAAAGATAAAAGATAATTTCTCCAGAATATTTACAAGTGGAATTTATGGGTAGGTAAAAAAAATAAATATAATTTGTCGATTGATGATTGAACCTACCTACTTACCTATTGCAAGAAAATAAAACTATTTAAATAATTCAGAAATATTTAAATAGTTCCGTAAAATGCAAAGGGCGTAAATCATTAGCTACCTGTATAGAAACTTAGATTTTTTACTAAAAGTAAAACGTATACAACTATTTAATAATTTCTATTACGAGTAAAACAATTAATTAAATTTTTTAATTTTCTTTAGTTTAAATTTTATCTGTGTACAAAGAGTATAAAAATAATATTATTTTATATTCTGAGCGAAGCGCGGAGTGCTTTGATTTTACTATGTTGTTTGTTTTTTGCGAGTCTATTAATTATTTGTCCTACCTTTTCTACTACTTGTTTTGCTCCAATCAAAATCTTTATAGGAACTTTCTTTTAAAAATTTTTCGTCGGTGGCATTGGAAAGGTCATTTTTTGATTTTCCTTGTAGTTTTCTTACATGTGAGATACGGGAAATATTGTTTGTATAATTTTTTGTTGATTTCTGGGTTATTATTTATAATAGGCGACAGGGAAAAAAATACGACTCATAATACTCCGTTCAAAATCGTTCTACATTAGTAATGGCCTATTGTTGTGTACAGATTTAAATTAAATCACTCTAATTATGACACATTATCCCTGCAGACTTTCCTCCTAAAGCAGTAGCACAACCATCAGCAGCGTGATGTGAATGTATTTTTTTCGTCTTATAGATAACTTTATAATATAAAAATGTTCATTCAGGAACCTAATAAGATAAAAAATAAAGAAAAAACAATACTATTATCTAAATAGATAAGTCATCGCAATAAATACCGTGGCTTAAACGGAATTTATTATGCATTTACGACGGCTATATTGTTTTTACCGTTCAATCGAAAAATATAACAACCGCGTTTAAAATGATATTATTATAATAATATTTTGACTATACCCCTAATAATATATACGCGTCACATACATACGTATATAGCGAAAACATTTTTTTTTTTTTTCTGTTGCTCGTCGAACGTTTTGACGATAATATTTCCGTTGCGCAGTCTATATCATAGCGACCGGCGACGTGTTTTATATATGTATAGCTATTCCGGAATAAATAGCGGATAAAAAAAAAAAAAAAAAAAGAAATAAAGAAAGAAAAACGCATTCCGCCGGAGAAAACCATTAATCTTTACGCCCCCGCATATTATACCCGCATTATAAATTATTGTAATAATAATATTCATAACACACGCGCGCACCTCCACGGATCATCGTCGTTTCGTTAAGTTCCGCTGATTTGACACGCACCCCCCCGCCCCATATGCCCCCGAAAGAAGTGTATACAAACATGGCAAACGATATTCCGTCGACGGGCGCCTAATTTTAATGAATCCCGCAAACCCGTTTCGCGTTCATTTGTTCAGCTATTAAACCGGGCATATAGGCGTACGACAGGAACGTGTATTATGTGTACCGCGGGAACTTTGAATCCAATTTTGCGGATGCCCGAACAAAAAAAAAAAAAAAAAAAAAAAAAAAACAAACAAAACCTCCCGCGATCTCTTGAACGTACACGATATTATATATATTGTATGACTGGGGGGCTAGTATTTCGTAGTGAACGGCGTCCATTCCGGCAGGTAGTAGGGCAAACATACGATTCTCGTAAGCTGGACCGGATCTAACATTTCTTTTATTTGGAAAATATGAAATTGGTGCCCTTTTTAGATTCTGAGCGGAGCGAGAGGAATGTATTGGTTTTACAACGATGTTTTTTTTTTTTTTTTTTTTTTTTTATCCACGAACATCTTTTTCACCAGCAATGTCGCTCCGATTTTCAATTATAGCACTTTTTCTGAGAGGAAATCTGACAAGGGTGGTACTCAAAAGTTTTCGTTTTTTAATTCTCCCAAGGGTTTTCACAATAATTGGGAAAACCGGGAAAATGTACGAAGTGTATTGTTTTCAAATCGTTAATATTACGGCCTTTAACCGAACTCCTCTCAGAATCGTTTTTGGTTAGCGAAAAATTAACCATTACGTACAGATATACATTAAATTTCCCTCTATATACGTTTCCAACTAACAACAGTGGCCTACCCTCGTGCGAAGTATGTCAGTATCTTTTTATTTTTGTGGTTTTTATGTTCATATAAGTTATAACTTATTATGTAGGTCCGGTATTTCAGTGCATTCATTCATTTATTTTCTAGCCGTGTCTTCTTTATTTTAGTGATTTTTTTTAAAATTTTAAATGCGTAAAAGCATTAATTTTTTCCCCCGGGTTTTTATGATTTAGTCGTATAATCTCCAGCTGATCCGATCGCGCGCGTGAGTTTTGGTAACAAAATGTTATAAGTTAGTATGTATTTATATATTAATTATAGGTGTTACGGGACGACTTATAATTGTAGACTAATACAACAAAGTTCAACAGTTCCGACCTACCGCTGAGGTCCGAAATGACGTCACACGCCTACGGCTGTGTCGCAAAAATGCAATTTTAACAGCAAAAAAACAAAGGAAAATCTAGTGATTTTTGGAGATACCCCATCTACCTACTTATAATAAAATAAACGGGGGGGGGGCAATATTTCCTAACTGTACCTCATTACATATGAGTTTTATTGAATACGCCGTGAACGGAAGCGACATATTTTCTAAGACTGTTTTATTTTTTTTTTTTACATCTCTGTATTTTCCTATTTTTCCGATTGATATTTTGAAAAAAATTATACATAATATGAGAGGATTCGTTCAAAATCTCTCGCTTTTGCATTTTCATACCATCCGTTTGTGTCGTCCGCTTTCCTTTCCACAGTACCTAGTAAATCCGTTGTGATTATTGTTATTTTTTTTTATTACATTCCACTATCTGGTCTACGTTGAACCCACTCGCGTCTTTCTATGTGCACGGTAATACTTCCCTTTCAACGCTCCTCTATACAACCGATATTTTAACACGGCTTTATATCTGATTACATGTTCAATTCACTATCATTTCGTCTTCCTGTCGCAAATTTGTACTTTTTATACCTAGTGTTTTTATTTTCAAAACTCTTCTTTTTAACACTTCGTGTTATTCCCTTAAATTCTTATCATTCTTCTATAGCGTCGCATACACGTCATTTGAAACGTCTCTTAATCTTGTTATTGATCTTCAAAATATGTATATTTTCCATACGATGTATCTAATCTTTATTAACCGCGTTTTCGGCGGTTTATATCGTTCCAAACGCATTCTCTCAGAAAACAAAAACAAATGAGTTACATTTATCGCGTTCGTACCGATTATAAACTGACATTAAAAGTCGTGTTATCGTCGCGTACGTACTATATGATATAAGATTCAATTTACTACATGGAAATTCGACTAGGTAGTAAAAGTTTTATATCGACTTGTCGAAGTTTTATCGAGTTGTCGCGTCTCCCCCCGCTGCACGCGTATAATATAATATTTTATAAACTGCAATTATATTGTTCGTAATCGTTTTATTTCCGTCGTCGTTTTTCATCGTGTCTCGTCTCGCCGTCGTCGTTTCTGCCTGCGGTTGTCGCGGGTTTCGTGCAGTCCGCGCGCGTGTACACGGCGACGCGTCGCGTTGTACGTATTACCTACGGTGATTGCGGTCACGTACGGTTACCGTTGTCGCCGACCTTGACCCGAACCACGGTCGTAGTATAGTCACTGGTAGAAATAGTTTTATACACCCGGTCACGACGACGACGACGACGACGAACGGGGGTTAATGTACACACGTCGACTGTTCGGCGGCGGCGACTTTTCGTGTGCGCTCGCGAGGGTAGCCGAAAAACCGTGTAGCTGTGTAATGTGTGTGTTTGTGTGTGTGTGTGTGTGTGTGTGTGTGTGTGTATGTGTGCTTGTGTGCGTGTGTGCGTGTGTACTACTGCACTTACCGAGGGTGTTTTGTAAAATTGATTTCCTCTGGGGTTGTTGGTTGTGGCGAGTATATATCGCTTGCGTTTATACGGCACCCGGTGCCGGGATCTATACACAAGGGGAGGGGCGGTATAGGGGAAATTCGCTAAATTCATGAACCGCACTGCTGCAGTTTCTTAAATCTGCGTGTTTCGCTTTGTAATCAAAATTCGGTAATTGTTAAGTGTGTTTTTTATTTTTTTGTGATTTGCGTATAGACTGTTATAATATTATGTACAACCTAAATAATTCCAACCTAGTCTAACCACCTAACCTTATCCGACCCACGCTCGACCATCGACAATCGTTTATTATAATAATATACATACTCTCGTTCGATTTATATATATGGTTTTTTTTTTTTTTTATGTAATTTTAAAGACGGCTATCAAATTTTTGATGTGTCTAATGGGACCTTTCGTATACTCGGGTTTTTTTTTTAAAAAAAAGGTTTTTCTACACTTCTACAATGCGGAAATTTCGCAAGTTCTGTGTTTACTACACATAATACTTATATAAATCGCGGAAAACCGTACACACGCATGACGTAATCGGTATTTCGAATTTAGTTTTTTTTTTTTTCCCGATAGCCACATTGTTTTTAGTATTTATAGTAAAGGCACGTACGCGCGAAATACTTATAGACTTGTACTACAATGATAATAAGTGACTGTATACAAAACAATAGAAATAAAATAAATCTATGTACCTCTATACTTGGGCGGCAGGTAGATATTTTATCAATTTATCTTAGAAAATAAGAAGGGGTAACGCGGTCAAACTGGATTTTCGGAACATTTCGCAACGCTACTCGTATTTCATCCGGTCTGCGTGGGTAACTGAGTGGATTGGATGCTGCGGAATTGGCCATTTCAAAATTAACTCGGTTTAAACGATGTTCGGCAAAGTTTGCGGGCAACAATAACTTTCAGTTCTCTCCGCGAGGATAATAATATCATGTCGAAAACTTCTATGGGAGCTCGTAAGGTAGGTAGGTGTATAGCGTTTCGATGGGAATTTATAAAAATTACGGTTACATAAGTATAATGTTGTGTTCCGGACGGCCGGGCAAGAAAATCCGAAGAAAGTCCTTCTCTCAATAGCCAATAATTTCTGTACGGCAAAATTATTATTCGATGTATTTTATCGTGTTTGATTTTGGGATATCGTTTCTCGACGAACAAAACAACCTTTACTACAACTGTACAAACACAAGCTGTACGTGTACAAACAAATAATGACATTTTATTCGAGTTACTATATATATTTAAATAGTTTCGTGGCTTTTTATTTGTCCGTAGAAACAATATTCATAATTAATAACAATGCGTTCTTGTTTACGAAATGATAGAATTCTTTGTAAATTATTATTATTATTTAAAAAAAAAAAAAAAAAAAAAAAAACTAGCGATACGTGTAGATGCGTTCTAAATTTATATTTCTTGGGGTTACATATTATAATCTGCGTTTTGCGTCGATGAACTCGTTTAACAATACCCAGCAATTATAACGAGTGCAATTTGTTACGCAATAACATTGTTTTTTTTTTTTTTTTTTCTATAGAATCGATAATAATATCCGATCGACAGTCGTCTGTTTATCCGTTAGATATTGTATAGTTCTTTGTCTACACAAACAAATCGTCGAAAAACCCGTGTTTATAGCCGCGAAAACCGGCGTGCGTGGCTATTGAAATTCTATAAATAATTACAATGTCGATACACGCGTATTTTTATCCTGGATTAAATATTCCAACGACGATTTCCTCCATTTCTTGTTCCTCCACCCCCCCCCCCCACCCACCCTCCTTTTCGGTTAGTCTCGGGGGAAAAAAAATGCCGGGTATCGAATTTTTTCGTATTGACATTTTTTACGTTACACACGTGCACGTGAATAACATTTCGGACGAATATACGTCGCGTAGCGTATCCGGTAACAAGGTATGCGCGAACAATAAATTTGATTTGCGAGCGTTCCGTTT